CACACAATAATTGCCTTATTTTACAAATTAACCAGTTTGGGTGCAAAAGGTCCCAAACTCCAAAAGGATATTCAGTGTACTGTTAAGTATGACGAATAAACCCCGAAATCCTCACATAGGAGGAGCAAGAACCAGCAAGAGTCTGGAAAAAATCCAAATCCCAATGTCCCAAAATCTGGAAAAACAGCCTAACATTGATTAAAAGTCTAACACTCAAAAACAATAATCTGCTAAAAAGCGGATTTAGAAAAAAAAGGGTTTCAGGGCCTTTGGTGTTTTATATTTTTCACAGCATCAGCACTGGATGGTGCATCACTAATTAATTCAAATGAGAACAAAGACGTTGGGGAATCATCTGCACCAGAAGTCTGCTGGAAAAACTCTTTTGTTTCTTCTTTTTTTTTTCCTTCTTTCTTCCAGTGCATTAAAACAAGATTTCATAAGTCAACTCGGGAGGAAAAGCAGAAATATTCTCATTGCCCTCGTGACAGATGGTTGGACCTCCATTCACAACACTTTCCAGTCTGTTCCCTTAGACTGCTTCCCGGAGCAAAATGAAAACCTTTACAACGGGGCTGAATACATTCTCCCTGCACAAGTGGACAGGCTTTATTCCCACAGTCCACCACAATCACACTCTGTTTGAGTGGAAAACATGGGCTTACACGTTTACTCTGCCTGGACTTAGTTCCCGGTGCTTTAGTAGGGAATAGGTTACCAATTAAATCCACGTAGAAAGAAATTCCTTTAAATGTATCTCCGAATAAAGAAAACTGAAATTTCCCAGAACAAGCAGACAGGGAAACAATTCAATTCAGGTCACCCAAAATCAACCCCATTATATGCAGATGGTGGGGGGTATGCCCCCCCCCCGCCCCTCCTCTGCTCTAGAATAATAATAATAATCAGATTATGTTAAACAGACATGATGCATACCAGTCCTGCAAGGACCCGGACGCGGTCTGGGAATCATCTATCCACCATCCTCCATTACAAATAGCGTATTACTTCAGGTCGCTCTGGTCATCAGCTGCCCAGAGAGGATGTTCCTGGAGATCAAGGTCAAGAGCCAACGTTTGATTGTTGCAGTGCAGACCCTCGACATGCACAATGTACGACCCAGTGCTCCTCCATCTTCCACCAGACGTTCCCATTCTCCGATCACTTCCGAACTCAAACGAAAAAAACAACCAAATACGAGACAAGAGCGAGTTCCTGCCCCTCGCCCTCCTCTGACAGCGTCAATGCACCACTGGGAGAAGATGACAGTTGCGGGAGATTGATGAGCTGCGGTGCCAAAGGGCGCGGCCCGCTCGACATCCGTGAGGAAGCGCTTTGACTCGGCTTCCATCGACTCCGACAATACCCCCCCCCCGTGACAGCTGACGCAGACCGGAGTCCCAGCGACACCGCCGACACCGCGCCTTCACGTGCATGCGAACACAGCCGTGGCCCCCCGGAACCACGCCCATGGTGACACGGCGGTCTGGAGAGGGCACCCAGAGGAAGTGGGGATGTCACGGGGGGGGGGGTTAATTGATGAGTGGATGTGAATGAGCAAAGCTGGCCTTTTTGAAGACTCCTCAAGCCAGGACAAATGTATTAATAGGCCATACTTCAGAAACCCGGCCTATTGAGCTCCCGGGTGACACCTGGAAGAAACCCCACTTCCTGATTTTATGACCAGCACAACTCAATTTCTCTTATCTGTGCCCTTTGGCAATGATGACTGGGAAGTGTTGAGGTGAATCCTCTGTGATCCGAAGCAGGTTTCCATTCATTTAAGAAGAAGAAACAACCCATGAGGCAGCAACAGGCGTTAAATGCAGGGGCGACCCTCCGCCAAATGACCACCACGACTGATCTGGTGTAAATGCAGCCGTAAGCCCAGTGGTGCTATAATCTTTATGACATCAGCATGCAAACCTTTGTGCATCTGCACCAGAATTAAAGGTGCAGCCGAGGCGGATGGGAGATGTTTCGGTTCGGACCAAAGTGGTGAACGGACCAAGAACACTATGAATGGAGAAGCAAACTATTACACAGTGAGGCGGATAAAAGCTGACAACAAAAAAATTTTTTCAGGTGCTTGGTTGAAGGTATGAAACATTTAATAATCTACAAAACATTCAGTCAACAGCAGATTGCGTCACACAAGGAATCTGTTACGCACGTCCTTCCAACAAATGGCTGTTTACTCTAAAGGGTGCAACTTGTAACTAAACCCCCGGGGGGGTTTAACAGGTTAATACGTAAACTATGTGATGCAGCTTTGTGCGAGTGACATTTAGAAAGCATTTAGCTGCTTTCTCATGTGGTTTAGGATTCGTGCTCCCGGGAGACCGACATGAATACACACACGTGGGACATTGACTGACACGGATACACAAGGGACTGCCCCTCCCCTCGCACACAAACACACACACACACACACACACACATCTGTGCAGCCATCCTTACTGTCCTATCGACAAACACCCCAAGTCTCTGACAGGGCTGTCAGCGTACATCACCACAGGTGGGGGAGGGATGGAAAATGAGAGGGACCGAGAGGAGAGAGAGAGAAAACCGGGCTCGCCATTAGAGAGGATGCGCCACCGTGAAAATCCATACCGTGGTCGAGGAGGGAGGACAAAGGAGAGGAGGAGGACTCTCCATATGCCAAACAAGGATGGAACGGTTGCATAGGAGACACATGAGAGGGGTTTAGGGGGTTGTTTTCCCCTTAAAACCTTGATACAATCCACACCTCAAAAGGCAGAAGTGTGTTTTAGACTAAAGTGGCTGTGACTGTTGCACCGTCTCTCTGCCCGACTTTCATACATGATGCAATACAGTAAAACCTCGGTGCCGATCACTTTGAAAGAAGCACAAAAAAAAAAAAAAAAAAGGAGAACTGGGAAATGCCGGTTCATTTAAATTCTGGATAGATGGCGGCTGCACACACACACAAAGAGGATTAACGCAGGCTTGCATTTCAACAGAAGGAATCCCTGTCTACAAGCAGTAGGGAGAAAATCTGGCTTTAGAAAGCTGAGCATCCTGGTACAAAAGGAGGCTGAGCTCAAAAGTCCTGTAATTGAAACGTTCATTTTTGAGAAATCAGCTCCACAACGACAAGCAGCGTCTGCATGGACGACATGCATTCTGAGTACGGCTAAAATTAGGTTTTTGAGAGAGAAATGTCAGAAAACCGTGAACGCCAAGTATTGCACTTGTTGTCGTGCGTATCTGGGAATACTGACTGGAATGCATACGATCTACAGGAATGCCCTCCGATATCCCGCCATGTGTAAATGTTTGCTAATGAGTGAACTAGAGGCATTTGTGAGTGTGTGTGTGTCTTAGAGAGAATAAATAGTGGTCTTCTTCGGCCTTTGTATGAATCTTAAGTAGTCCCATGTTGAGAGAGGCTTTGTTCACTGCCACCGTCGGGGGGGAGCGGGCAAGTCCTCCAACTTTTCCCCTCACTTCCTTTTGGCGTAACATTTATCATTCTTTCCCGACGAACAATCATCTACAACGTGGCCGAGCATCTAGCGCACAAAAAAAAGAAACTACCGCCCCCCTATTCTGGTTGCTCGGATACCTTTCATCCAGCGGGACAGCTCGTCAACAACATCATGACTTACTTAGAAACTTCCGACCTTCACTTTGCTTCGCTCCAGCTGAGACTAGTAATAGTGCTGGATCCTGATTTTTCAAAATAAAGCGTCCGAGGACAGATTCCTTTTTTCCTGTTTGCCTTTCATGTTGCGTCCAAAACAGTTTAACACTTCCAAGCCTAGAATTCTGGTTCTGCTAAAATGCACCCATGAAAAAGGGGAAAAGTTTAAGTGGAACAACCTTCTAATTTGCAAGAGAAATTTCCCTCGGGGCAAATATAGCATTACCCAGCTCTACAAAGAATCACGATATTTTATACAGACATTATACTGTGCTGGTGTTAGTCATGGGGAACCACGCTCGGGCCTTTCATGAAAAGGTCGAGGGAGTCACCAGATCTTCTCTCGTTCTCTCTATCCCTCTCAAAAGGGTACACGGGTGCATTAGTAATAAGCGAAGAGATGCAGGAGGTCGACTAAGTGCATACAAACGGTGATTCCCGTCAACCTCATTTAATGTGCCAACACCACCATGGAAACTTTAATGTGTGTGTATACAGAAAAATCCTCTCCGCCTAGTTCTGCAAAAACGCAATTTTATCACCGTTGTTTACCTGCAAACAACTGGCCTCTCTTGTTTTGAGGTGAACCTTTTTCTTTCCATACCCCCCCCCTGCTCCCCCGTCCAGTTTGTGAAGCTCAAGCACATAATAGGCCCGGCCTTGTTTGGCCTACGCCATGTGTTTGCGCCGATCCCTTTCAGCTGACTGATTCTGCACCACTTATTCCGCTTATTATGAACACTGACAGCGGATTACTTTGCTTACTGCACCCAAATTCTGCGCCCCCCCCCCCAAATTTGATCAAATCCAAGAAATGCCGAACTGGGACACAAAGGCAAACTCAACAAAAGAGACAATAAAAGAGAGATAGGGAGCATAGAGAACGAGTCCAAATGAAAAAGGGTCAGGAAAGGGAAAAGCAGAGGAAGAGCGGACACAACAAAGGCCTCAGAACCCTTTAAATGATGGTTTTGTCAGAGAAATAAAGACCAACTAACAGCAACAGAAACAAACCAGCACAGTGAACGGGAATGCAAATCAGCCCCGATGCAAATGTCATACGTCTCCAGTGGAAAAAACAGATGCTCAGTCTTTATGCACCCACCCCCCGCTCCCCTAACACGACACACTTTTCTCCGCGCTACCAGACCCCCCCCCCCATTCTCCTCCACCCACATGAGACACTGGAGTGCAGAGCGAGAGAAGTGCAACCACGAGAGACGAGACGACATCATCTTCGTACCTCACAAAAGGGGGTCACAGAGGGAGTACAGTGGGCTCTTCACATACAGCGCAACACAAGCACACCTTTGAAAGGAGATAAACCACTTACTTCTCCGTCATGGCGTCGGCCAGCGAATACTGATGCATTAATGCTCCTTTTCACTTTTCTTCACACAGTGGGAAACGGTCGAGAGGGAGAGGCCGGGAGCAAACGTCACGATATCCGTCTGCAGGGAAGGCAACGGAAGAGTCAAATCATTCCTTCAGTAGGCAGACAAATAACGTTAAACGTTTTAGTTTCATTCAGCAGAATTGTCTTTTCCATAAAATGACAAAATAGAGATAGAAACTAGCAATGTGGATGCATCTTTCACAGGAGTCTGCAACGCAATCGGACCCATATTTGCAGAGTTTTTTGACGGCTGGCGCGTTCCATAAGGCATCAATAAAGAGATGATACAAAAGCGTGGAACAAATGCCACGACTTCAGATTTAGACATTTTAATGAGGGCGAATGAGACGAGGCGCTCCCTGTGGCCCGCTGAGCAGCCTCTAAACCCGGCATTAGCTCTCCGGCTTATCTGCCTTTAAAAGATCACGACAGCGGCACATTAGATTCATCGATTTAGATCCGGTTATGTCTCATTCAACAGGCGCAACACAGATTGTTACGCGAGTGGGATTTGGGCTCCATAAGCGGACGGAGGCTAGATGACGATTGATGGTAGACCTGAGGTAGAAGGGGAAGGCTTTTAAACCGTGTGGTACCTCAGGAATATGTCCATTCCACCGAATTATCCAACACCGACTTACCAAAGGCCACTAAGCGGTTTTACGGCTGTCAGATAGAACCGCGGGGAGTAAAAAGGCGCCCTGAGGACAAGCCCCGCCCAATCCCGTCAGCCACAAACCCAGACAGCCAGACAGCAGCCTCGGAGGCAGCCAGCGGCGGTCTATCTAACGCGGAGGGGGGGGGGCTATCAAGTCCATCTCACTCATCTTTCCTGTGTAACGGCGGCTCAATACACTTTCCCCCGTGTGTTTCCTCAGTGAGGCGGCTGTGTACACACAAGTCATCTCCGGTAGTCGATTTAAGTTCCATTTCCTGTGGCCTTTCAGCCACGGTGTGCTTGGTTGAAGAGGAAAGTTGCCAACATTTCAACAAATCAGGTTGATCTTTTTTTTTTTTTTAGATTGTTTCACCACAATGTTATGGATGAAATGTCACAACATGTCTCTCAAAAAGCACAAAAAGTCTTCGTATTACTGAAAGGTTGAGAGTCCCCAATGTGGCAATACACCAACGCATGAGAGCTTTACATGAAAACTGTCACACGCAGTGTTAATCTGTGTATTTCCACCAGAACAATACAAAATGTGGAGCTGCAAAAAGTTGAATATCAAAGCAGTCTTGACACTGTAGCTTAACCCACAGCATCTAAAACACGGCCATGACGAAACTGTTCAAACTGAGAGACAGACAATCAGGCAAAATCCACACAGTGTCTGTGCGGCTTCACTGCGATCAAACAAGTAGACAACAATGTAAATGATGAAAAAAAAAATTCTGCCCTTTACCTCTCATTAAACATTCCTGATCTCTTCTTCTAACGGGAAGCAAAACAAGGAAAATGTGAGGGTATCCCACCAACCACCCCCCAAAAAGAGGAGAAAAGACAGCAGAGCGCCACTCCGCTGCATCAGGAAAACGTGCCATCAACCACAACACTGAATTATTTACCTCTCAGTAGCAAACTGGGTGAAAAATAGCATCCCTTTTACTGGAGACTGCAAAGCATAAAGACTCTGGTCTCTGGTTGCTATGGCAGAGGAGCGAGGCGTTGACGCCAGCAGCCGTGGATCTTACCATAATCTGAGAGGGACGGTCCTGCAGGTCGGGGGAGGAGAACACACCCGGCTCTGCCACACCGTTAGTGAGTCTGCGATGCTTTGCATGGCAGATGAAAAAGAAAACAGAATATGATCATCCAGCACCGGCCGTCCGTCTCCCTCCCTCCCCCCTCCTTGCGTTTAAAGGGCCGTCTCACTCTGGCGCATGTCAGCGGCAGGCTGTTTTCGTCACAGCGGTGGAGAGCGACGGCGCAGACGTCGCGCCTCTGGAAAGCGTCAATGCACACAATTGCCGAAGGAAGGGGGGAGGGGGAACTTGGGGTGAAGGGTGAGGGAACAAGGGTGGGGAGGGGAGGTTTCGGGGTAGTGTGTATCGGAGTCTATTGTTGTAGGGGGGGGAATTTCGTTTTTTTATGTGAATATAAAAACAAAGGGCCTGCAGGAGCAGCAGCTGGTCTCTCTGCACTGTATTCAGCCGGCGATGCAAACCACTGGATGATTAACTACCTGGCTGTTGCTTTAGCTTTAACCAGCTGTGCATGGTCAAATGGAAACCAACACACACACACACACACACACACACACACGCGCACAGTGAAGGTGTACCCACGGTGCACATCCTCGGGCAATGGACCGCTGATGTCTCACTGGTCACTTTGCAAACACTAAGCAAAAAAACAAAACTGATAAGAAAGTGCTGACGGCTTGCAGAGGTTTCCTCCTTGCAACAGAACCAACATCTACTAACAAATGTCCGTGGTGGGGGGTGGGGTGGGGGGGCTCTGGTCAGAGAGCACCCAGCAGAATGTACAGTATGTGCAGCTCCCCCGCTCCATTCCCTTCCAGCTCCCTGCTCTCAGCAACACAACGCTGGGAAAACCTTTTCAGGGAAGATAAAGCTGCCGATGGCGCCCGCGGCAGCGCACCAGCGAGCGCTCTGCACCCAGGCGAAGCCGTCCCCAGTTCAGGGTGCAGCATCTCGGTCACTCTTCGGCACTGCGAGAACTTTCAGCTTCAGTTTCAGCGGGGGGTTGGCGGGGGGGGAGGGGGGGAGGGGTTCCTTGACCTTCATTGTGATCGAGAAACAGGAAACCCGGGACCTAACGTACGGGTTCTTCTTCTTCTTCTTCTGTCCGCCGATTCCAAAGGCAATTTTGCTGAGACATCTCTGGAATGCGTCGATGCATTATGCATGGCCAGCAACACACACACACACACAAAGCGCCGACACACGCCTGCTGCCAACGCGCTAGACGCTCCGCTGGTAGGAAATTATTCCAACCTGGTACTAGGGTGTGGCAGGGGAGGCTTCTGTGTGCGTTTCATAGAAGGAGGTGGGGGTGGGGGGCGGGTATCGTCCACAGAGCCAGCACACCTCAATAATCAGAGCACCTCAGACTGGCCCCTTGACCTTTGCCCTTTTAACTGACCAAAAACAACGAGGCGGAGGGCGGAGAGGCGCAAGACCGGAGGGCTTTTTACAGAAAGGACGCAAACGTCTCTCAGTCCCCCCCCGTCCTGTATTTTGGGTGATTTTGGGGTTTCTTACATTTTAACTGTCTAATGAGGGGGAACGGGGTCCAGGGGGGGGGGGGGGGGGGCGGCGTGCGCCTGCGTCAAAGGCGCGGCACCTTTCTTACAGCGACCTCCACAGCGGGAGGCGGGTTGTGTTACTGGCCCACGCCATTCGCAGGTCGTTCAGCCCTTTTTCAAAGCAAACGGAGACCGAACCCGGCAGAACAGAGAGAAGCCCCTGAAGGCTCGTGAATGGCCGCTCTCACGTCCATTGACAGTTCATTTCAATCACCCAGTCGCTGCGGGCACGTGAAGGAAGTCTCCCTTTTCGTGGTCCAATAACATAAATGTATGAAACACTGGATGGGCCCCGGAAAGAACCGATTTCAATGCTCCCAGCTTTTAACAAGGCGGACATTTGACAGGCAGCCAGGACTTGTTCTGAAGACCGACCGAAGGGGGGGGGGCGCATCCAAGTAAATGAGCGCTGACATCCCAAACAAGTGCCATTCGTGCACATAGTTCAAGTTTAAAACAGAGCTCCTTTCAGCCAAGCAGCTTCCACCCCCTCCCCCCCCATCTCAAATTGATTACTGATGGGAATGAAAAAGCTTTGCGTGCTCATGAGGAGTTTTCATTGACAAGCCGGAGCGCTGCGTGTGATTGCATATTAGCACATGTGCATCCCGTGCTTCCAACGCATGTGGGAAAGGAGACAAAGACAGTTCAGTCTCTCCGCTAACAGAATCCGAACACAGGCACATGTGTTGCAGAAAAAAAAGAGACCAACTAGGGGAAAGTCCTGGGAAAGCACCACAAAGATCACAGCGTATATGCAGGTATCAGGCAGTCTACGGGTCTAGAAACAAGGTCTATTAATCTTCAAGACCGTTCCAATACCTGCAAGAGGCCCTGAAACCCATCCAATTGACGGGTCCATGATACGACCCCCCCCGGCTACAAAAAAGGGACCTGTCGATGGGGCAGAAAGGATTACCGATTGACAGCATGAGAAAAGGCTGAGAGGAGAAGCCGCGGTGGAGAACAGATTTGGAAAAGACAACAGCTGACTTGAGAGGAATAAAGTAATAAGGGGAAAAAAGGGGGCGGAAATGAAATAACTGGCGTGTTTCAAAATTCCACAGTGCTTATCCAATGTAAGCCTGTACTTAATGTGAGAGGGGGGGGGTTCTTTACTGTTTAAATGAGGAGCATTCATTCACTTCCTTCGAGCCCGTGGGTGTGAAACGTTACAAAGTATGCGGCCGTGATAAATCTGCCGCAGGGCTGCAACTAAAGATTACCTTCAAGATCAACTGACGTGCGGATTCTTCTTCTCGGGACGTCGGCTGAAACTCGGGCCGGGTGGAGAGGAAACGCCCCACGGCAATTTCCTACGCCCGCCGCCCCCTTAAGTAATGTTGTAGTCATTTCGGGTTTGAGACGCTGTGGTCAGGCCAACGCCAACAAACAAATCGATTGATACTCTCGAGGAGGGACCCCCCCCACCCCCTCCCTCAGTCTCCCGTCTAGTCCAGAGAAGGTCAACTAGGAGGACCACGGCCGATGGTCACGTAGTATGAGCCAGGACTTGAGATCAGAAGGTGAGACACCGAGCAGCTCCATAACTTCTTGTTACCACCCCCCCTGTCCACACAACAGGGCAACTGGTGAGAGGTGGGAGGGGGGCCGCTCCATCCTGCACGTGAACTGTGCTGGCGTGGAAATATGCCCTCAGTGCTGTCAATGATAAAATATGAAGTCTTTTGTTGTTGCAGTGAAAGAGCTCCGCTTAGATTTATGCACCCGGGTAGAACCCCCCCCCCCCTCACCCCTTTCCTCCCTCCCCAGAATGGCATTTTGAAAGTGCAACGGGAGTTTAATGTTTAAAAAAAAACAAAAGAGACCGTGTGAGCACGTAATATTATATTCAGGAAGTATTCAAGGACAGTGACAGCAGCCGGGTCGGGAGTCGTCCGTTAACGTCCCCCCTGCGCCCCCCTGCGCCCCCTTGTGCCCCCCTCCTCCTCCTCAAAGTTCGCCTTCGCAACGGTGAAAGAAACGTTTAAAGTCCCGCGCGGACACAAAACAATTCACGGAAGTAATTAGGATTTTGAGGTGTATTTTTCTTCCACTGTGTCCCATTGGGGGGGGGGGGGGGGTCCGGCTAAACAGCAGCAAGTGCAGCGGAGCTCGGAGGCGACAGCACGCGCGAGCGCGACCGAGTTCTCTCCTTAAAAAACGGGGAAAAGGCTGCGCTGCTGACGTAAGCGTTTTACCCCAAACCCGCGCGCCGGTGACCGGTGACCGGTGACTACTCACCGCGGGGGAAGCGCGTCCTCTTCGTCCCGGTGTGACCGGAGGTGATGCGTCGGTGCAGCCGCAGCGTGACAAAGTTCGGTCCCCCTCCCTCTCTCTCTCTCTCTCTCTCTCTCTCTCTCTCTCTCTCTGTGTGTGTCTCTCTCTCAGCTCAGCATGGCGGCGTGGGGCCGGGACACTGGATTCAAACCTCTCCGGGCTGCGAGACCAGCAGGAAGGGGGGGAGGGGAGGGTGCAGGGGGGAGGAGGTGAGGGAAACAGTGGTCGAAGTGGTATGAGTTTATAGCGTTGTAAAACATGCAAAAAACAAGGTCGTGCATTCAAAATGAATGCAGCTGCGCTGAGAAGTACAAGATTTTCAAATGAAAATACACATATTTCGCAAATTAAAAGTAAATTGTCCGACTTCTTTTGCAAAAGAGAAAAAAGAGCCTTTAAAAAGTATATTTAGTTATTTTGCACAGTAGAATAATGCCCCTTTTATATACTATCTATTTACTATAGGCCTACTAAAATCCAGGGAAGGAAAGCAACTAAATACACATACTGAATTTATGCTTTATATATGCTGCTCCTTACTCCATTTCAGAGGCAAGTTTAGTCCCTTTTACACCATTAAATGTATCGCCAGCTGGAGGTATTCGTATCATTGCTGGCTAAAATAAAATGAATGATGCATTAACAAAAACTCCCAAGCACAATGCAAGTAGTGGGTTAAAATGAGCCCAACCTCCTCCTTACTTTTGTAAATTTTGAATACTGAACTTTTCTAAAGGCTTCTTATTGACAGGCGTGTAATTTAGATGGAGCATACTAATCCATTCAAAGCCCACAGACTTCCAGACAGTACACGTCCTCAATGTCTTCTGTGGCGGCGAGCCCCATTAAACCTTGGCCGAGGGGACTGTAGGTGGGGCCGGCGGGTTCAAAAGGCCACCGTTGGAGGTCAAAGGTTACACAACATTTTCCTGGAGGAGACGTGAATCAAAAACACAGAGGAGGAGAGACAGGCTGACCCTTGTGTCATTGTGCGGGGCAGAGGAGGAGGGAGAGGGCCTTTCCATGGCACTGCCGGCCGAGTACAATGCCATCTTTGAGTAGGAGACAGATTGCTGGTGGTGGAAGACGGGGCAGCGTCCCGCTCCACCTCTGTGGCTGCTTTGTCGGCTCTTTGAAAAACAAATGTTGAAGATATACCTGCTCCGTTGAGCTGCAATAATGTCTCTTTTCTTTGCCATATATCCTTAAGTACGCCAATGCTCCCGGGCGTCGGGAGCTTCGGAGGCTTTTGCTACAGATTGTTTATTTTCATATCAGCCCCTGGTGATGTGAGAGCTTGGGGTTGAAGGCTGGCCGGAGTTAAAAGGGGACGGTAAGTGCTGCCTGAAATGAATACGTAAAGCAGCTGGGTTTATCTTCACTCACTCTGGGACATGTGGCGCTAAGAGAGAACAGGTGACCGGGGAATGCACGCTGAAATCCAAATGTAATACTGGTGCTCAAATGATTTGTTAACAATTAGACATATTTGCATTTTTCTCTTTTATGATAACTACATGTGGGTCTTTCTTGTATTGTCCGACCCCCAAATTCAACTTGTCTGTGGTGGACGTACTGTCTCTCTGGAGATTTTAACGCTGTTAATGGGTCACACAAAGACGCCACACAGTGAGGCTTATTTTATTGCTCCTCTACATAAGAACATCTGATAAGTGCTCAGAATGTAAATGCAACAGGAACAGAAAGTCACACACACACACACACACAATAGATGAGAGCGTATGTGAGTGAAGGGGTAGATTTCAGGTCTAAGTATATGATCTTCGTGCCTGCCTTCCTCAGACACACTAGTTGGATATATTTAGAGTCCCTAGCTGGTGTATCTATGCTACAAGGCAGACCACAATCATTCAGAACACTGGAGGGGCCGGCGCTGGTCTGAGATCAGTCCAGAGGGGAGTTCATATGTGTGTCGATTGGTAAGGGAGAGGAGTAACTCCACAAGGGTCAGAGGTCAGGGCCACTGCTCCTCTCATACCAGAGGAATCAGCTGTAAGCCCGGGATTTTAAAATGGAACATTGCACTACTCTTTGACTTTTAATTCAGTATCCTGCAAAAAAAGAAGTGGGAAAAAAATGAGTTTTGTGCATTTTATACTTTATTAGCTTTGTATTTCCTTAAAACAATAATGTGTATTATCTAAACGCTGGTCAAATTAATAACATCATTTTGTATTAGGGATTACAGTTCCACTGGCCTCATTGTGGTGGTGCAGCACCATCTAGTGGCCAATAGTAAACATGCCATCCTCTATTGCATGAGCCAAAGCCTTTTCATATAAAAGGTGGTGCATCTTGCAGGTGTCCATGGTATCCATAAATAGTACACCTTTTTAATGATTTGTTTGCATTTATTTTCTTTAATTGTAAAATAACAAATATATTTTTTTCGCTTTTCGCTACAGTGTTTCAGTCAGTGACATGCAGAGAGGTGCGTAATGAAACACTGGGAGAAGTTTCAGTCATCAGTTACTTTTGCCGCCTCACCGCTAGAAGCCTCCAGATCCTACACACTCCACATATTCTGGATGAATGTTTCAAGCCTAATTTAAACTTCACAAAGCAACCGACGTGTACTCTGTATAATTAAACGGATGAAAAAACCAAGAATTACCTACATAGATATAATTTTGTTTTTTGAAAGGCATTCCATAATAATCATGTGAGCACAAACAATGTGGGTTTAAAATAGGAAGTGGTTTAATTGTTGAATTATATGCGCCAGCTAAGATATTTATTACTGTTTTGAATTGTATCGATATATAGATAATGAAATCCTCGTTCTTTCATTTTCTATGAGAGCGTTCAACCTTTGTACTCAACTCTATTGTTTAGGTTAAAGTGAAAATATAAATGCAGAGATACTCCATTATAAGTAAAGGTTCTGCATCCGTATTCTACCTTCAGTACATTCAGCAGTGAAAAGTATCACTGTGATGTTTAGCATTAATAGCTTGTAATTACAGCAGCATTTCAAGGTTTTAGCAGTTAGGTATTCAATCCACGGTCCTCAACCTGCAGGATTGGCCCCTCTAAAGGGTCACCAGATAAATCATTGGTGATACTGGGAGAGGACCATTTTGATACACAACTATTTATTTAAAATCTTCCATACTTCAATTTCAGATTTCTTTGTAATATGTTTAATGATTTTACATCCTTAAGGCCTAAAGAGTTTTTGCATTAAATTTGCAATTGACATGAATTAATGTACTCTGTGACATCACTACCGGGTAAAATAATTTCACCCACCGCCCATTCCTATCGGCTTCATGACTTTAGCACCAGAGGAAAACTAAAAACATGGAAGCACACTTGAAGTCCACTTTTCTCCCGAGGAGGCGGGCCAACGATTGATCCTCCAATCACAGCCTCAACCTTGCTGTCACGTGCCACTGGGTGTCCAATGGGGAGCCGCAGATTACAGCCGTTTTGCCGCACCCAAAGTGGAATGATGGGCGGAGCGAGAGAGCACAGGGAGATAAACCCACTCTGAGCTCACCGGGGGAAGCGATAACGCCAACGAAGCCCACCGTCCCTCTTTCACCGAGCACTCGTCTCATATCCCACCACTCCATCACACTAAGGGTAAGCGTTCGGAACCATCCAACCCGGCCGGCCTTCTACAGCGGTTTTCTGCCCGATTAAAACGAGCCATGTGTGTGTGCGTTTCGTCGCGTGCGCCCTCACTTGTTTGTGTGCGAATGCGTCGCGAGCGGCAGAGACGCAGACGTGCACGTTTTCCCTGCCAGTAAAAAGCATTTCTGCGTTTATGTATTTTTTTTAGTCTTGATTTCCTTCAAACTCGAGACGGTTTCCCGTGCTGACCGTTAACGGCGCAGGGCCACACACTTTGCGCGTGCGTGCGTTTGTGCGCGTGCGCGCGGTGTGTTTGGGTTCGGTTAGGCCCGTTGTGTTGCTTTCTTCTTTTTGCCTTTTCTCGTGCGCTCCGCTACCCCGAAGCTGTTTCAAGCATCTCGAGTGTGTGTGTGTGTGTGTGTGCGCGCGCGTTTTAGAAGCAGGATAGAGGTCTTTATTCAGTTGTGTGAGGATGATGATGATGATGATGAAGGAGCTTCCTGTTGTTAAGATGGCACCGCGTTCCTGCATAACAACACACAAAAATGCCCACTCACTTTGTCAATGCTGAGCACAGTATGAGATGAAACTCACTCATGCAGCACATGAGCCCGATCATACCACTGCTTATTGAAATGAATTGAGCAAAACATGTTCTAGAAGTTAACTAGAGATGTAGCTGAAAGCACAACCACAGTCTTTATTTCAAATATTCTATACATGGTATGGTAATATGTTGATAATAAGTGATGATGATGATGCAATATACATGTATCATCAAGAATATAGAGTTAAAGTTACTTCTACTCATCCAATCATTTGCTGCTTTTTCTGATTTGTTTGCAGTAGCTAACTGGATAATGTTCGTGTCTTGGACTGTTTCTCTGTCACACCGGGGCTTTAGTAATTTGACATTTTTACCAGGTGACATCCCAAAAACCTTCACAATTTGCAGCACTAACTGTCTAGCTGTTGTAAGATTGTCAAGGCTCATTGAAAAGGTGATGATGATAACCTAGAGAAGATCACCACTAACCCTGTGCTGAAGTCCCATCCCCCCTCCTCGTACTGTATGAGGATTAGCAGACGGCCCACTTAAAGGGTCCGTGGGACGGTATCTCCCTGGATTTGGTAATTCCGTTAAAATGAAAACTCCCAAAAGAGGGATGTTGGCTCAGTCTATCTGGCTCCATGTCGTCATAAACTACACTAATACACACATGCATGCACACCCGCTGGAGATCCAGGGTGTTTGTTTTACTCCCACGCCCTCGACTGCAGCTGAAAATCTGTTCCTCATTTCAAGTCCACCATCTCTTATTTCACCCTTTCCTTCCTTCCTTCCTTCCTCTGCATATGTGATCACTTAGCAAGAGACTCTTATTTCGAGGTAGTGATGCGCACGCAGTCCCGTTCGCGCACGCCGCGTCGGTCGGCAATCGCATAACACGCCGCGTGCTGTACACGTATGTTTGTGTTTCAAATGTTACTCCGGGCTGGAGTAACATGATGGAAACTGTACAGGGAGGGTCTGTTGTTTCAGAGAGCAATCTTCCACCACTCTGTCCAACATGTCATGTGACGGCCAGATAAAGCCGGAGTCCCTGTAGACGTTCAGTGTGCAGAAGATCATATCCGAAACGCGAAGATGGTCCCAGAGGTGGTGATGCTTGCCAGAAGGAGGACATTGGCTTCATCGCTGCAGTTATCTACTTGTCTCTCCAGATTAATCTGATGCGTATCAATGTGATAATCAAAAAAAATCATCTGGGTGCTTTGCTAAGATCACGCGCAAAGCTACAACCATGCTATTTGTTGCATGCACTCTGGTAGGATATTTTTAACATGACAACCACGTGGAAGCAAGTTATCACGTTGTATCGCTACCAGACGTTTGTCCTGCTGAGTAATCTGGACGTGTGTTGTTGTTGAACACTGTCTTGGTTAGAGCTCGCTGTCCATAAAGCTTCTGTTTAGGTCTGTAACTCTGGTACACAAGCCCATGCATGGGCTAGAATGACGCTGAATGCATTGCTGCGAGGCATAGTGTTCAGTCTGCAACACACACACACACACACACACACTAGATATAGAGCAGTTGCTAGTGAAATCTTGGTCCTCAGTAATGACAGGCATCCAGCTCCGAGATATAAAGAGCCTCAACCAAGCGACACATGTCTCAACTGCTTGCATGAAGCGCAACCCCCCCCCCCACCGCCACACACACTAACATGTCAAAGAAAGACCAGCAACATTTTCCTTTTCGGTTGTTTTATTTAGCATAATGTTCTTTTCACTGGTGAGGGCTGGAGTGGCATATTTTTGGAACAAACTAAATGGATTATTTTTTCTATTTTTTTTCATGGTGCTTGTTCATGCTGAAAAGATGTCTCTCTCTTTTAGAAAAAGATTATAATCAAATGAAAATATCTGTATTTAAAGCTTAACTCCCCTCCGCCCCCTTAGAGAGCAGCTCGCTCGGTGCTACGATTTCCTTTGCTTACATTTGTTGCCGTAGCAACTTAATACGGTTAATTGTTCCAATGACGAATCAAAATGTCACGTCCAGTTTTTCACACAAATGCAGATGGCCCACAGTGTACTGTGTGAATGTGATGCCTGATTCGTCATTCCGTTTTCCTGTTGCTTGGAGACGAGAAAAGACCTTGGATGAATCAAAGTTTTTTTTCCACATCCACGGTGAAAATGGAGGAGGAAAGAGACTCTTTGGATGTGCCACTGTTCTCGGTTCTGCGTATCAGAGGCCATCTGCACGCAGGCCACAGTCCAAACACGATGCAAGAGCTCAAAGCTGTCATTTTGCTGTCAAAGATGGAAGAAGGAGCTCGCCGTATCAGTTTTTGCAATAATCAGCCTTCTATTGGTTTTATTAGCAGTTTATTTAACAAATATTAATGTATACTTCCCTAAATTTGTATGAGCTTTTGTTAAAGCGTTATTCACTGATCCTGGCGTGCAGCCGTAGGCGCCGTCAGGGGTCCCTCTCTTTTTGAGGTCATATCCTGTCACATGGTCTTCTTGCACAAACATAGTCTTAAGAAATGGTCTCCCTGAACGGCCCCCACCTTCACACAGCAAGTTGACTTCAGTGACCTGTGTCCTCAAATGAACTAAAAATGATCAGAGTTCATAATTAGTTTTAATGTAAGATTATGGCACACTAGTCGAGTTAGTTCAATGTCCCATATGTGGATGTGTATCTTATTCTAAAACAAAAAGCATGTGGCTTCCGTGTGAATAGGACTCGTTTTTTTACACGTAATGTGAAGTGAGTAACAGTTTGAAGATGTGTGCCTCGTGACACCGACTGTCTGTGCAGCCTACAGCTCTTTTTACATAACAGCGATCTTTAAAGGCTGTCCCTTGTTTCCATGGTAATGCCTTTCGGTTTCCATAGTGTTTGCACTCTCAACAGGAGCGGAGGCTCGCCGTTCCCCTGCACCTACGTATCCCAAGCCCAGGGGGTGGCGGGGGTGTTTGACGAGGCGTGGGGCGCCTGTGGATTGAGCGTCCTGCATCGACGGCCATTGTTATTGCTGCACTGTCCATCAGGCATAAACGGCTTGTTGTGTTTGTTTACACCAGAGAGGTTAATGCTGGAATGGTGCCTCGTATTTCTTAACTGGAGTCATTCAGCTGATTGAAATGCACCTGCAACAAAGCGACCTCTGAACCCCCTTTGACCTTTCCGTGCTTTGTTTACTGTGACAGTGAGCAGCTACAGAGGTGATTTGTGCATATCATTCATGCCCCCCCCCTCCCCCTCCCTACATCGTGCAGCAACGAGACTGTAGGATAATTTTAGAGTGTTGTCCCCTTTTTTTTTTTTTCTGCAGACAGGTTTTTGATTCCTATCGTTGCTGCTAGCAACAAACGCTAACATGAACAACAGTCTGCAAACGCAGCACGATGGAGTCAGGGCGAGGTTGATGGGATCAGACGAGCAGCCAAGTTGCATCAAGACCCGTCTGGGTGTAAATCAGTCTGACACGGGTCCGTCTTGGCTGCAGAGGCTGAAGTATTGTCGCATTCCTTTGATGTGCAATGCGGACCAACTCCGCCTGTGTTTCATTTATATATTTATAAAAGGATGTTACTTTTTGATGCTTTTACCTTTTTTATGTGAATTATATTGATGAATCATCCTGGCTTAGGAAAAGTAGCAACTACTATTATCTAAATGTTTGAATGCAACAGAGCATCAATGTCTTCTTTAAGATTTTAGATGAATGCATCTAATGCATCGCACTCCTTTTTGAAGGTATTTGTAGCTGAAAAAACAAAACAAAGAACACCCTTCCTTTTAATTTAATGAGCAGATGAGGTGAGAGTGGACAAAACAATAATTGGCCTACCATTAGCCCAACAGCTTGACAACACAAAGGCCTTCATTGCAGCAGGTGACCAGAGATGTCGAAAGAAAAAAAACGATACGATAGAAGCGTGAGAGAAGGAGCGAGCGGGAACTGTGCCAGCCGTCAGCGTGATGGTGGAGGCTTCGTGTTCCGGCTGCAGTTGTCATGGTACTTTTGGCTGATCGTTTTCTATTGATGCCGTCTAATGGGCTGCGTCGGTTTCTGCCAGAGCAACCACACAGTCACACGCATTCCTACACACACACACACACACCCCGGTCCTCAGAGGCCCGTCTGTGTCCTTCAGAGGCGGGGTTTGGGTAGTCGTGCTGTGACGGACAGGCTGAGACTGTTTATCCACACGTACGGACACCCGGCTGGATGAGAAGATCTGCCTCTCCACGTCTCTCAATCCCGTCCTGTCGTCCGTTGAAGGGGACATGTCGAGCTAACGGTGGATTATTGGCAAACAGTAACGCGTCCATTGTTTCGTTTTCCAACGGTCATCACTCTTACGGGTTTTGTGCTGGGATTGCAGGAAGCGTTTTATGGAAATCAATGAAAGCCCATCTCTGCTGGAGCAGTGGTCACGTGGTTGTGACAGGAAGTAGGGAAAGAGTGTTCTTTGTGGTTAGCTTTTCTTTTTGGTCCAACGACTGCAATGCTTGCTTCACCGTGGAAACTGGTTCTTTACTGTGAAATATAATCAAATCATGAGGAATAAAAAGTCTAATGCAGACCGGGTGGTTTGTAGTATTTATCAGTATGTTACAAATGCTTTAATCCCAATTGACTCGTTTCATCAACTATTGGTATTTTATGCTGCAGGACCTTCCTGTTTTCTACTGGTGCGTTACGCAGACTAAGTAAAATCCTAAAAAAAACGTATCAGTCACTGATCCCCTTTTTAAATTTTTTTTTTTAAACAGGTCAGCCCAGGATGAACGGCGACTCAGGTGCCGGCGTGGTGACGGCCCCCCCGCCCACCACCGCCCCCCACAAGGAGCGGTACTTTGACCGGGTGGATGAGAGCAGCCCGGAGTACCAGAGGGAGAGAAACATGGCACCCGACCTGCGGCAGGACTTCAACATGATGGAGCAGAGGAAGAGGGTCTCCATGATTCTGCAGAGCCCGGTCAGTTCTTCTTCTTCTTTTGTGTAAAGGCCGCAGCTTCCTCAGCATCACATGATGGATCCAGTGTATTCTCCATCGACAGTCGGACTGTGTGCTGCTGAACAGCAATGTTTAAAGGCCCATTGTATGTGTGAAAAGCACCAAGCGGTGCTTTTGAAATGAGCAAATTTACTTGGTTGAGCTCTGTCTCGGCGCCAAAATCCGGTTCCGTAGTCTACAGGTCTCGAGCATACGTTTTATCATTTGTTAGGTCATTTTAAAAAGATGTTAAGCAGTAACTGTCTGACTGCTGTTTTATTCATTTTTTTCCATCCCATTTTCCCGTCTCTGTCCGTTCTTGTCGTCGTCATTGACCGGCAGGCTTTCTGCGATGAGCTGGAGACGATGATCCAGGATCAGCTGAAGAAGGGGAAGACGCCCACCAGCCTGCTGGCTCTGCAGCAGATCGCAGACTTCATGAGCAACAGCATGCCGTCCATGTACCCAGCTGCCCCACAGGGCGGCATGGCCTCGCTCAACATGAGTGAGTCGAGGAGCGAACGAGCGTGTGTGTGTGTGTGTGTGTGTGTGTGTGTGTGTGTGTGTGTGTGTGTGTGTGTGTGTGTGTGTGTGTGTGTGTGTGTGTGTGTGTGTGTGTGTGTGTGTGTGTGTGTGTGTCTGTGACTTTTTGACCTCAGTCTCGCTATGTCTGTGCTCACAATGAGTAATGCAGCACATGCCAAAGTTAATTTCTGGACAAATAGTCCTATAATTGAATTAATCCGTTTTTTCCCCACCTAGCAAGGAATCACGGATGGGTATTTTGTATAGAGCTCTTTATTTGAACCACTTTGTTCCCATCCCCTGTTAACCCGTGTCATTCCGCCTGATATCGCCTCCTCCTCTCAGGTTTGGGGATGGTGACTCCAGTGAACGATCTGCGTGGCTCCGACTCCATTTCCTACGACAAGGGCGAGAAGCAGCATCGCTGCAAGCTGGCCGCCTTTTATCGCCTCGCCGACCTGTTCGGCTGGTCCGAGCTCATATTCAACCACCTCACGGTAAGTTCTTTCCTTGTCCGGCAACCCGAAAGTTCTGATCTGGCTTTTGTACATACAGCAGTAACGATGTGTCCACATCGTGCGATTTGTGTTAATTAGGCCCAAACGCATGATCCGATTTGGCTGTTTGAATACAGTGACGGTATATTTGAATATGGCTGGCTTCTGGTCCTCCTTTAGGTCAAGGTGAACTCTGACGAGGACCGCTTCCTCATCATCCCTTTTGGGCTCCTGTACAGCGAGGTCACTGCTTCCAGTCTGGTGAGGAAATGGCCTGATCTCCATTAGAACACTGGGGCCATTCTTAAGTTCTTCCCTGATATTGGTCTACTTCTCACGTGATAACGTGCGCCGAAAGTCACATTGATGTTGCCGCCCTCCAGGTGAAGGTCAACCTTCAGGGTGAGATAGTGGACCGGGGAAGCACCAACCTCGGGGTCAACCTGGCCGGCTTCAACCTCCACAGCGCCATCTACGCCGCGCGGCCCGACGTCAAGTGCGTCGTGCACATACACACAGCCGCGGGTGCTGCGGTAAGGAGCAGAGCGTGTGGCGTGTAATGGAAGAAAATGTCCCCACCCGTCGTCACTCACGCAGACGGGGACTCTTATGTCTCATGCGTTGTTTGGTTGCAGGTGTCTGCCATGAAATGCGGCCTGCTGCCCATCTCGCCCGAGGCCCTGTCGCTGGGGGAGGTGACCTACCACGACTACCACGGCATATTGGTGGATGAGGATGAAAACGTTCTCATCAAGAGGGACATCGGACCTACTAGCAAGGTAACAACGGCACAGTGTGAAAAGCGGAATAAAGATGAGCGCTACAGCTCCAGTTCTGTTCGGTAATTATGAAACCACTAAATCCTTCTGTTTATTACCTTTTGTTCCTGTCTTTCTAAGGTGCTCATCCTCAGGAACCATGGCTTGGTGTCTGTAGGTGGCACAGTGGAGGAAGCTTTCTATTACATGCACAATCTGGTGACTGCCTGTGAGATCCAGGTAGGACGCACACACTCATTTCTTTGTTTTTGAAGTATCATTGACTTGCTGTCATTGTGGTGTGATGCATAGAACCATTTATTTTTGTTTGGGTTGTTATATTACCACCATACGTCTCTGCATTTTTCATAACGAATTGTCTTTGTCCCTTGTCTCCCCACGTGTATGTGTTCATCTTGTCCTCGTTTGTCCACATTTTCTTTTCCTTCTGTATTTTGGCTGTTTGTATGTTATTCCCCCTCCCGACCTCCTAATTTCTTTCAGGTGAGAACACTGGCCAGCGCTGGAGGGCCAGATAATCTGGTGTTGTTGGACCCAAAGAAATACAAGGCACGCTCGCGGGTCCCAGAGCCCCCGAGCGACGGGTCTTCCACACACCCCAAGTGGCAAGTCGGGGAGCAGGAGTTTGAGGCCTTCATGAGAATGCTCGACAACTTGGTAAGCACAGCGGAAACCTCAAACCTTTTTCCGGGATGGAATTGGTAGAATGTGTTTTGTTGAAATCTTTTGTTTTTAAAAAGGGAATAGTGTGTTCTCTGTTTTTTTTTTTTTAAACGTAGCCATAGATCCATTAACCCCCGCCGCCCCCCTTTGTTTGTCTTCCTGTATCCCAGGGCTACAGGACGGGCTACCCGTACCGCTGCCCGGCATTGCGCGACAAAGCTAAAAAGTACAGTGACGCGGAGAGCGCTGCCCCCGGCCACGGCGGCCACTCGTACGGGGAGGACAGCGACTCAGGCGCTCGCTCCCCGCTGAAACAGAGCTTCCAGCGCGGCCAGCGCGACAAGACCCGCTGGGTCAATGCCGGCAGCCGTCCCGACGAGCCCTGCGAGGACGGGCCGGACGGCGGCGGCGGCGGCGGCGGCAGCCCCAAGTCGAAGCCTAAGGTGTGGACGAACATAACACACGATCACGTGAAACCCTTGCTGCAGTCTCTCTCGTCTGGTGTCTGCGTGCCAAGCTGTATAACCAACTGCTTGGTCTGTGCCTACCTTATTGTTCATAGTAAAGATCTGACCGCTGCCTTGTTGGTGGAAAAGGGGGTGAGGGAAGGGGGGCGGGGTGGTCGGCATCTTGAGGTTCCTCCAAGGGGAGAGACAGAGGAGTAAAGCGTGGTACAGAGCTTTACGATTTACTTGTACTATTTCTATGTAACCGCTATCGGCGGTCCGGTGATGTCACTCTGCCGCGCGCGGCCTTTTCGGGCCTCGCTTTAGGCGTCACAATTTCAGGCGTCCTGTCAACCCAACTTTTCTAACCCCGTGTGCTCTGCTAATTACCTCGTTGCGTAGCTGTGAGTATCCGTCTCCTCATGCATCATGATGCCGGGCCGCCCGCCCCCTCCCCCCCAACCCCCACCACCCTCCCATGCATGCCCCACTGCATGTGTAGTAGTGAAATGCATTGTTGGTGTTTTTCCCCAGAGGAGCGAGCGGCAGGGGTGTGGCGCTACTCAAGTGGGCGGTCCAACGTGGCGAGACGCGGCGACCTCGCCGCCGACCACACTTTTGCTAAACGCCCCCCCCCACCCCCACGGCAGCTCTTAGTTTTGTCTCTGCATCATGAAGTAAAGCTTTTGTCTTTTAGCCACATTGAGAAGAATGGGCGAAGGCAAGATTTGAGGGCGTGTCAGCCCTGTGTGAGTTTGCTTTTGGGGCTTCTCACAAATTGTATTTATGCATTTTCAGCACACTGGAGGGAGGTGGCATGTCTCTAGCAAAAAAAATTCCTAATCCCAAGAGTAACGGCAGATAGATTATGAAGATTTGATGAGGAAGAAAAAGAGTTATGCAGCCTGCTTTTTTTTTTTTTTTTGATATTTCACCTTCAACTGCACTCAGTTGTACTTCCGTTACCTCCCATGTTATTTATTTTTCTGGTTTCAGTTTTGTTCTGAAACTCGAATCCTGCATGAGTGGAATTGTTTGGAAAAAGAAAAGCACCGAGATTAAAAAGCAACCGAATTTGACCTGACTTTTAAATCGATTATCTCCTGTTGGGAAAGTAGGAAATGTTGTGTTGTGAGACTCTCTCTCTGTGAGTATATCGCATTTACATGTTCATCCCATACTCAAACAACCCAACCCAGCTACTTCCATCCAGAAACACCCCCCACCCCCCTCTCATCGAGCGTCCCGCCCCGTTTGGCGGCTAACCAGCCAACCATAAAAATACGCTTGCGCTTCCCCCCCGTGAATAACATGCCTAGTTTTAACAAAATGTTGGACTAAAATATTTTGCATGAACGCTGAAGATTTGATTTGAATGTTCCCCGCTGCTCATTCAGTTTGGTGCAAAAAATATGTATTTTTTTTGCCCTCCAATCAAGCTGCGCATTACCAGGTTAAGAAAAACAAGTAGAAAATCCAATGGGGTATTTCTCTCTATCCGTCTGGACGATTAAAAAGCTCACCCCTGCAGGAAAGATGCACTCTTGTCTCACTCTGTGGACCCTCCCTCCCCCCACATCCCCCCCACGTCCTCGGGTGTGTTTCTCTTATCACTGTCGTCCTCGTTGTTGTGTATCAGCCTGGGAAAAGACTTTGGTGATGCCAGCTCACCTCTCGCTTCGTAAGCCAGCCTCATCATCCGTCACTCCCCCCCTCCTCCCTCATCCCCGTTACCCTTTTTGTTGTGTTCTGTGTTCTCTCTTGTTTCTTCAGTGTGCTCCTTCTGTTTTTGGGGTTTCTAATAGTACACCAATGATGATGACAAAATGTTTGCAGTAGTATAAATACGCCCTCATCTCAAAAGAACACCCGTAGAAACCATTTGAAGCATTTCAAACGTAGTGTTTCATACATACGAGCTTTACTTTTCTGTGAGTCGGCTCTTGTGTTTTAGCGTCAACTCCTATGGGTGAACATTAAAGTTATTCAACAGAATATGCCTGAGAGGTAGTGACGTAGAACACTAAATTTTGTGTAAATGAATCCCATCATCATTGGTTCACTTATTACTTTCATTCTTTTCTTTTTTTACAGCCATCCCAACTTTGTTGATTTTTCAGTTCAGCATGATTTTTGTTTTGTGAAGCCTGCATAGTCATTTTTCTTATAATACATTTTAGTTGCTGTGTTTAAGTGATTTTTCGTATGTGCCTTTTCAGTAATGTTTTAACACTTAACGTGGTGTTTTCAGTGGACAAACGAGGACGGAGTCCGCCAAGCTGCCGTAGCCAATCAGTTCATCCCCATGAACACAAACCCAAAAGATGTCCTGGAAATGAGGAATAAGGTATCACGTTTTATATTTATTTTTTACTTCCTTCGCTCTGGTGAAAGAAAAAAAGACCATTTGATGTTCTTGCTGCACTCTGTTTACTGTTGTTTTAAAAAATATATATTTTAGATCCGAGAGCAGAACCTGCAGGACATTAAGACCGCCGGCCCTCAGTCGCAGGTTCTGTGCGCCGGCTCCGTAGTGGAACGTAACTTCAACCAGGTCAGTTTGTAAATTCTGCACTTGAACACCTCGCCGCTGCATCCACCCTCACCTGGAGTTAAACACCAGTCAAACCAGTTAAACACCAGTCTCGTCCCGGCGAGAATACTAAGATTTCTTATGGTTTGGTCTCTTGTATTTGCTTAAAATACATCAGATTTTAAATCTATCACACTCCTGGAATGTATATAAGGTCCAGGTCAGGAGTCACCCCTTAAACCCAAATGCTGAAAGTGTGAGTTTTGTGCTCGAAGTCGTCCGCTCAGTCTCTGAGCGAGCGACTTCCTCGCTAATAACGGAGCGGGAAACGTGTTTCCGAGCAAGGAGTGACTTTGTAACTGTCGCATTATTCTTTGACCACAGAGATCAATCTGGCAGGTGAGTCGTGTTTGAGGGCGGAACCTCGTTCTGCTCTCCAAACCTGCCAGCTCGGGTTGTGTCCATTATCACACGCGCTTTGTTTTCTCTCCTTCATCTTTCTTTTGGAGTTGTATTTATTTTGCCATAGTTGTTGTTGATGATGATCATATCCGGCTCAGCATTTTGCAGACTGGTCCCTCGCAACTATTTAACAACTTTTATTTCTATGCATGCAGAGAAGAGGAAAGGGAAGATTGCTTGTAGTTTTCCTCCAGTCCAGTTTGCACGGTTCACTCACCTGGAACTTGAATCCAAACCCCATGAGGAGCACGACATGGGCAAAGCAAAACCGCTGTTTGTTTTAAAGGGGCCAAAGGAGTCCTTGACGTGCTTTTTATTCTGTTACGATTGAGACCCCCTCTGTGTGTGGACCCTTTGTCTTCACGATGCATGGTCTTTGCTATTTGCTCCGTCACCGCTACGCTTGCCACAGCCCCCCATCACGCAGCCGTCTCTCTCTCTCTCTCTCTCTCTCTCTGCATGCACGTCCATTTCTTGCGTGGTTGTCCTGGCCTGACCGACCGCTGATTATGAGTGTGCTGCTGTTCTAAGAGCCCCCCCCCCCCTCCCACCCCCTCCACTCACTGGGTTTACCATTGCAGGACGCCCCTCTGTCTGACTGTACAGACACTATTGAAGGCCTCGATGTGTCCGAGGGGTCCTATAGTCCTGCTAGATCAATTAGAAAGGTACTGCTCCAGTCACCTGTACTTCACATCTTCCCCCAGACAGACACCCGATATCCGCGCCTGTGCAGATAACGCCGATGATCGTGCTAGAACGACGCCCTTCCTGTATTGTGTTGTGTTGCTTGTGTATCTTTTGGTCATGGGATCAAGTCTCTCCTACATTACACTCTGGTCTGGTCTTTCGTCATCCTTTTGTAGCGCGTTGTCGTGAGTTGAAGTGTGCAGTGAGGGTGGTCTTTTAATACATGTATTTCACAAAAAGAAATAGTCCTTCACAGACTACGTGAAGATCTCTTTGGTTTTAAGAATAAAACTTGCCGTGACTGTTTCCTGCAGGCCTGGTGATCTCGATTGAGTCGGCTTGAGCTCTTCTGTGCTCTGCTTTTACGTAGCCGTCTGTTGCATAACATGAAATGACAAACAAATCCTTCTATGAGGAGAAGTAACCTGCTATTGGACATATAAGTGTGCCTCTTGAATTTTGAAATGGCCCCTTAGCTTTAACTTGCTCTGAAGACTATGGCTGAAACTTCTGCTCGCTGCTGCACGATAGTTGTCTCCAGTCTGATAATCTTCTGCCGCCATTTGACTCTACGGCTCTTATTGTTTAACTTATGAAATCCTGCCTTGTGTGTTCTCTCTCTCTCTCTGTGTCCTGAAGGGGGAGCTAGTGACCGCGTCCAAAGCCATCATCGAAAAAGAATACCAGCCGAAGGTCATCGTCAGCAAGCAGGGTCCCAACCCCTTCAACAAGCTCACCGACCAGGAGCTGGACGCGTACCGAAAAGAGGTGGAGCAGAAGCAGAAGGGGCCCGAAGGTGAATCTAGATTTACATTACAGTAAATTTAGTGCAGAGAACGATGAATGAAAAAAAGAGAAACCTTTCTATTGACTTGCGTTCAGACTAGAAGTGGTGCAGCCCCTCCTTCTGTAATCAGCCCCCGATTACCTCTCGCTCCCTTGACAAGTCCCTTGGATAAGTCCTCACAGGAAGTAAGAATTGAGTCGAGATTAGCTCAGATGTTGCTTCTGTTGTGAAGTTATTTTTAAAGCTATTGTAAACATGCTCACAATTAAATGAATGAGATACTTTTTAAAAAGATGCTTTTCCATAAAAGAATATTGAAGTTTCCTGCAGAATCATGCAAAAACTCGATTGGTGACGTTGCGCCCATGCACGTGACTTCACAGTGCACGGACAAGACCGTAGTGGGGCGGCGGCGGCCTCCAGCTGTGCCGAGCTGCTGCGGGGGGGCGGGGCCTCAGTCTCCCCGCCGCCTCTACAGACGGCGACCGACTCGCCCTGTTTAGAGGGAGCCGCCACACCGGCCTCCAAGCTAGGCTCCTCTCCCCTCGTCCTCGCTGGCGTCGGCGGTGGGGGGGAGGGGCTGGCCGGAGGCGGCGGCGGGGGCGCAGACTCTGCAGATGATGTTTTTTCCCCGCACAAGGAGTTCCACTGCGCCGTGCTGAGAGCCCTCAGCAAGGGGCCGTCCGTGCCGGATCAGGCTCCAGGTACGCCAGATGAAGCGGCGCCGTGCCTAAAAAGAAATCCGGCCCCGCCGCTTCCCCCCCTCCTCCTCCTCCCCCCGCCCCACCCCCATGCTCCGCCCCGGTCAGTCTCAATCAGCGCCGCTGCAACGGGAGAGGCTTGGGATCCCAGCCTGCTGTTTCTCCTTTTTTCTCTGGGGGTTTGGAGTCTGCTGCCATTGTGGGTTTTTTTTTTTTTTTTTTTTTTTTGCGTCCTCACAGTTCAGTTCAGTCCTTGAAAGCCTTTCTCTTGATTACTTCCACTCCTTCCCTCATCCCCTCTCTCTGATGCTCTGTGCCAAGGCATCCGAAAGCTTTCTGAAATTTGATTGGACGAGGAGCTGAGTAGAGACGACTCTATCAGTGCTGTGCTGACTTTATTGTTTTTGAGGAAGCGGCGTCTGAGCTCAGCCATCCAATCAGAGCATCCCACGTGTGGCCTCTTCCTGCTCCCCCGTCCCGGATACATCTCTGTGGTTGTCCACTGTCCCTCCTGTGCCTCTGACTGATCTCCGATCAAACTAATGGTTTGTTTTGGCTCTTCGGGATCTCTTACCTTTGATTTTGGCTTAACGCACTCTCGGTGGGTTTGCTTCCCCGTGCTGTCCTGCCTTTCGCTTGGTGATTTGCTGAAATCACTTAAGTGCTCATTTAGTGACGTACTCTTCATTAACCCTTTCCTTGCCCTTTTTTTCATTTCTGCGGACTCTGATCCAGACGCGGAGCCGCTCGTAGGGGCCGAGGATGACGAGCCCCAGAGCCAGAAACCCACCAGCACGCCACCCAGCACCCCCGTCAGAGCGGAGGAAGGTAGGCTGGCCTGACGTACTCCACATAACCGGTCCTGCCTGCTTCGGCATGGGTTTTCTCCGGTCCTCTTGCTGGGTTTTGGGGCTTCTCTAGGGTCTCCGGAGGAGATGCAGAGGCTCCTGCCCGTCCACCTGCCTCTCTGTCTTGGGGTGTGTTCATGTCGTGGTCTTTAATACTACTACTACTACTATTACAGCTGCTATGCTGTGATTTCTGTAATAACAGGCCAAGAGTTTGTGATTATTAAACCAGGTTGATCTTATGAGAGATGGAAATGACTGTTGTTCAGTCTCCAGATGTAAAGGCGGGAAGGAAAAAGTTTGGAAAGACAATGACTTTTATCCTTTTTATACATATTTTCTTTTCTCCCTCTTGGTCCTTATTACTATTGGATTACACCTAATAGGAGAACTGGCTGTAATTTGAAGTCTTAATCTTCATTCAAACAATAATTGGCATTGTTCCAGTCATACATGTCAAATCTATCTCATGAGCTACTTTCTGCGTGGAGGAGGACGAGTAGCTTCAGTCACAGGTGTAATCTAATACCTGACATGTTGTTGTATAACATATTTCTCCATGTTCAGTATCTCCTCTACCCCTTCACTTCCATTCTCCATCTTTTTGGGGTCTACTAAGAATGGTTCCCAACCATTCTTTTTAGGATTGTCCTCTGGTGTTTTATTTTCTCCTCTATTTCACATTTTATTTAATTTTAATTTAACCTGTGTGCCTGGTTTGATCTGCATAGACATGTGTTTCTACTTGTGCTTTTTCTTCTTTGTGGCTGCGATTACAATCAGGAGATGGAAATGCAAAAGAGTACCTGTTGCCATAGTAAGTACGTACTGTTCCACCTCCTAATTACCACCCGCCCATACCTGTGTTTGACCATCTACCCTCTTTTAGTTTTTTCCTCTGCATGGCTTCACTAGTCGAGCTGGTCTCTGATCGGAACTGAACTAACCCGTTTGAACTCCTCCGAATGGTTGCTGGGTGTTATTTCAGAGCGCCTCCTTCCCTTGGAATTAAACTCACGGTTTCCGTTAAAGTAAAGATTCCACAAATTATAAAAATAAATTTTGTTTCTTTACAACCTCATTCCAGGTTGGTAATATTGTCCTTTTAAAGATCCGTTTCCCCAAATGATAACGTTCAAAAACACAAAGTGGAGGATGTTGCTGAAGTAAAACTCACCAGACTTTTTTTATGTTTGATAACCTCTCTTTTCCTGCCAGCTACTCACCGTCCAAATAACCAACCTCTCTTGCACATGCGCACACGTTATCAATGTCATATGCACCTTTTTTTTCTTTTGAAAAATCAGGTAACATGTGTTTGTGTTGCAGACGAGTTCTTTACCAGGTACATCTGTGCTTTATTTGGGTGTGGCTTTACAACTGGACGTGCTGCTGCGACTCCCCCTTTAGCTTGAAGTGTGTGTGGGGGGGTGTGTGTGTGTGTGTGTGTGTGTGTGTGTGTGTGTAGCACCGTCTCTGCTCTGACAGGCACGGGAGAAGTGACGAGGAGGAGGGCTTTGGTTCTAAAGGGTTCTTAATGTCGCTGTGTGAGCTGGTGCACGGGGCCGTGGGTTCGATGCCGCTGATGGTCGACTGAAGCTTGTGTAGAAACGGCACTCGTCGATTCTTTTTGCTGGGAGTGTTTTTATTTTTATTATGTATATAGAGGATGGCGCTGTCTTTTCTAACTACAATCTGTGGAAAGAAGACCTGCAACTAAGACCAGAAGGAACAGCTCTACAGAGTTTTTATACTCCCAGCATCAATTGATTAACCCAAGTCCTAATTTTTGATCGTTCTCTGAGCGCTGCGCCAGTTTTTAACTAATACGTCGCAATCCCTCCACCTTGACTTGAGTTGTGTTTCCTCGCTTCTGTTTATGCCATCTGGAAAACCTTGTGGACTTTGATTTGTGTTTTTTGTTTGTACACAGGGTGCAAATGAGCCACGGAACTTCTCTCGTTAAGATTTCCCTGTTTAAAGGAAGGTAAAGAACCCCGATGCTGCGTGTCAGCTCGGGCAGAAGTCCTGTGTGTGGTTGCTCATCCTTAATGATGGTGATGGTGGGACGTAAGCGGGGTGCATCTTGGTTTGGTGACGGTCAGTTCAGATGTCTGGTGGGGGTTATTTTATCGGTGCGTTGGTGGATCTCGTGGGAATGCTGCCCCTTTTTGAGGTGTTGCACTTTAGATTATACACATATCTTGGAAGACAGTCGGTGGTTTAAACGCATCAATCCGATGCGGTTTGCTAAAGAGGCCGAGTCGTGTGACCAGTAATTGCTTATTAGTGGATTTAACGGCTAGCGGAGGGATCGATTTGCAGGCAGCCTCGGCGGCGTGTAAGTTTCGCAGCGCGGCTCCACACCGTTTTCCCCGCCGAGACCGTTAACTCTCCTCCGTCTCACCTCCTCCACCAGAGTCCCTGCCAGAGCAGACCTACAAGGACGAGAGCGACGCCGCCACCCTGAGACAGACCCTTCCCGACCTGACGCCTGACGACCCCTCCGACGCCCCGGCCCTTCCCGCCGAGGAGTCCGCCCCCGCCAGCGCCGACGCGGCCGAGGGGGAGGAGCCCGCCGGCGACCAGGAGGGGGAGGAGTCTCCCAGCAAATCCCCCTCCAAAAAGAAAAAGAAGTTCCGCACACCTTCCTTCCTGAAGAAAAACAAGAAAAAGACTGGCGAGTCCTAGATGGGAGACGGCCGGATGGGTCCTCGCGGCGAGCCTCTGCCTCCTTTTTTTTAATTTTATTTTTTAAAGTTTTGCTTTTTGTCTGCTACCGTTGCACCCTCAGCGCGAGCCTCCGTAACGCACAGTTCTGCTTTTTGTCTTCTAATTTTTTGGTTGTTGTTTTTGCTATAATTTGTCGTTGGCTTATTAACCTATGTTTCCTCGTTAGTGCGTGCCAATTTTGTATACAGTGTAAAAATGATGGATTGCATAAAGGGTTTTAATTATTAGGAGTTTTATTTAGTTGTGAGTGAGCGATTCTGTCTTCTTCACTCCATCTGGCCTTTGATGCATGTCCATTACTACGGGCCCACACACACTAATGTGAGGTTTTAGGCTTTTATGATAAACTGTTGTAACCACTAGAATGTATTGGATTGTATGAAAAATATGTAAGTGTCTTTTAAAAAACATTGAATGCCGAAAGAAGCTTGTACTCATTTAACTGGTGGTGATTTTTAAAAGTTTCTGCTACAAATTGAATAGAGCTCGTTTTACCACTGAAGCTGTGCAGCCATGTGATTACAAACCGTAACCATGTTAGCAAGCCGGATAACTGCATTTGGGGAAACTCTCAGTTGATGATTTATGGAAATGGCACTCCCACACAACCCATATTAATGTTGACATAATCAAATATTTTCATTAAATCATCAACAAGCTAAATCTTTGTTGAAAATGTTTTAACATTTTTTTTTCTTCTTTTTTTTAAACTTTTTTTTTTTTTTTTTACTTTGACCCAAAAGCATTTCACACAGCCTAAACTTAGTACAATACTGAATATGTCGTGTAGTGCTTTGGGTCATTCATGTGAGGTGGAAGTTGGGTTCAATATCTCATAAAACCAGACAAACTGCTCCAAACCTGATGATGATTTATGATGATTAAACGGATGTTGAGCTCTGATCACCACAAAGGGAGATTCATCCCAGGAAACTTGACAAAACATTGTGCGTTTTTAAAAAATGATTATTATTATTATTCCAAGGCTTAATAAGATATTTTGTACTGGTGTGGTTAGAAGGAAGTAATGTGTATAGAACAATTCCCTTTATTAATATTCTATATATATTTTTTTTGCCTGGCTTTGTGTTTGCCACTTGATATCTTGCTGTTTTTTTTTTGGTAATTTTTTGCTTTTTCCTCACAAAGTAGCTGAAGCCATGATAGTTTGCTGTGAGAGCACGTAGACGTCCTCCTTATAAGTCAATGAGAACTCCTAACACACACACAATCTTAAGCATAGATGCAGTTGGTACATGCAGCTTTGGAACAATTTACATATTCTGTATCAACATGGACTTTGAAAACTGCCCTCTGACCGAGTGGAGATTGAACACCCGTTTTTTGCAGTAAAGCCCCAAAGTACACTGGAGAAACTTTATTTTGTGGATATAGGAGCTGTGCTTAATCCTTCGGGCCATTGCACAAAGGCCGACTCCATGCCTCGCTAACTTGTCTTAGTTCGTTCAGTTTTAGTGAGCGGTTAGTCATCAGTCCATCCAACTTGTAGTGAACCAAAAGAAGCTTCATCTAATCTAAAGCCTTTCGTTTATGACAGATGGCGAATCTTCATCACCCGTGAATCAACTCTGAAGGACTGCATGTACAGAGTCCCGCTGTGCATTAAACGACTAACTACCCCCATTATTTGAAATGTCTTTTTAGCTTCAGTGTGCTTAAGTCCTTTAGTTATTCTCTTCTTCTCGCAGCTATTCTGAATTGTATTCTCTGTCTAATCTTCCAATCAATATGTGTCTCAGCATTATATTGTCTACAGATTTAGCACTTCCACCGCTGTTTTCTCATGGTCCTGCCTCTTTCACAACCATGAATAAAAGGAAAACACTTACCTTGTAAATCAGTGGTGTGTGATTATAGTTATTTAAGTCAAATCTGCAGTGTAAAAGAAGAAACCGTAAACACTTCATCAGAGCTGCCTGAGGCACTTCAGTTAATAACAATCATGTTTTGTGAAATAGTAACATACTTTGAAAAGATAGGACCTGCTTAAACCACATCGACAAGCTGAATTGTTTGTGAAGTTGGCCCGAGTTTGCGTAGATATTGTATGATCACCATAGTACAGCTCAGTAACGGTTCTCTTCAAAGTTCCCGTAACATTTGTAATAGTAATAATTAGGATTATGATTTTGGCATATGTTCTCTTTAAGGACTTTTGGTTAAATTCTAGAAATGTCAGGTCAATCAATCTAGTGGTTGTGAGATATTTCTTTGAAGTGTGTTCAACAAAGTCGGTGGGACTAATTCTCTGTGCATGACAAATTAAATCTCAATCCATCGTGACACGACACCTCCTACGGATACTATTCCAAAAAATTAGATAAGACATTCAAACGAATAATTCTCATTTACTGTATGTGTAGACTGCTCTGTAGTCCCCATGCGCCTTTATTTTGAAGGAGGAACTTGTTTAGACGACAGGGGGCGCTGCAGCGTAAACTCATACCGGAAGTAGCTCCTCTTTTCTTCCTTTGTTTTGAACTTTCACCTCCGGCTTGTGCACGCTGGAAAAACCTAAGCCAAGCGAAGCAACGTGGATAGTAAAGTGATACGAGTGTTATTTAATACATTCAGCGGTGGCAGAGCCGCATTGCCGGATGTTTTCTTCCGCCGGGCTTCAATAACTCGAGTCCTCCACTCGGCTTAAAGGTGAACTCCGTCCGCGCGGCGTAACGCCACTTTATTTGCGAACTGTGGTGAAGCTAATCTAGCTAACTTTAGCTGCAACGCTTCTGCCATATATTCCTCGGTTTTCGTCCCCACACCTTTGCTCCCATTAGTATATGCGAGGACCACCGTGTAATGTTACGCTAAAAACAATAAACGCGCCAACAGTTAGCAAGTGTTAGCGTTAGCTAGCGTAGCTGATGCGGGAGGGACGTGTTTGACGTCACTACGATAACATCGCGCGTCCCAAATGCCGCGTTACTCAGTGTCCGTTTGATCGGCGACGTGTATGAAATTAAGAGTTTAACAAGTGTATGAATAAGACTCGCTGGGTGCGTCACGGATGGAGGTGCTCAGGTGAGTCTGTGATGTCAGAGGTTTCCGCTCAATCAGTCCTCGCACATCTGTTCCAGATGGGGAAGGTTCCCAAGAAGAAGAGGAGCGTCGCCGACAAGGTCCGCAAAGCCAAGACCTCCTTCGAAATCAAAAACAACCCCTTCGAGGTGAAAATCAACAGGAAGAAATTTGATGTTTTGGGGAGAAAAAGCAAGCACGATGTGGGTCTGCCCGGGGTGTCTCGATCCAAAGCCAACAATAAGGTAAGTAAGAGGTTACTTTCCCCAATGACTTCTCCGTCTCTCATCACACAGCCAGAAGAAATATGCACATGAGCTGCTGTTCAATTCATTATTAATGTAGTTAATAATGAAGTAGTGATTATTATCCCTGTAGTGGCAAATCAAAGTTACAAAGAGAAATGAATGAATATAAGATATATGAGAACTCTACAGTACAGTGACACTGTATTCTACAACCATGGGTCACAGCTCATCATCTCCAGCACAATCTGTGCTGTGATCTCAGTATCATGCTGACAGAAGGATTCTCTGCAGGAGAGCCCGAGAGCTTTGTGAGGACATAGAGTACTGTGAACAGAACTCAAATGAGGATAAAAGAAGTATTCATACACTTACTGCATTAAATATATGAAGCAGTTCATTTAATACATTGCTGCCATAACTCTTGAAATGCCATAACTCTTGAAATGCCATAACTCTTGAAATGCCATAACTCTTGAAATGAAATTCCCCATTTATTGATCCGTAGAGAAAAGAAACCCTCCTGAAGGAATACAAACAGAAAGGCAGATCCAGCAAATTCATCGACAAACGCTTCGGGGAGTACGACACCCAGATGGCACCTGAAGACAAAATCCTGAAGAGGTTCGCGTTGGAGAGACAGGTCAGTGCAGCTGTAACGATTTGTGGACCGGACACAGCCGGCTCTATCGTGCCGGTCACCTTTCAAAAGACTCGGCGATATCACTGCCTAAGGACTCATTTGACCCTCTGACTGACGTCTGGCGCTTTGGTCCTCGGAATGACTCATTGGTGACATAACATTTTTAGCAAGTAATTTCACTAATGTCTTTTAAACTCCCGGGCCAAACTTTGCTTTATTATTCAGCGCGTCCACGATAAGAAGGACCTGTACAACTTGAATGAGGACGAGGAGCTGACTCATTACGGCCAGTCGCTGGCGGAGATGGAGAAATTCAATGACGCTGTGGACAGCGATGATGAGTCTGAAGAGAAAGGTCTTTTATCAGGTGAGTTTTGCTGACACCAAACAAACAGAAGGTTAAATATTGAACCTGTTAATTGGGCACAAAAGGCTTTAAAAAAACAACTTGATCTAGTCTGAGCAACGCCCATCACTGCGTTGGGTTCATTTCCAGCCCCCGCTGGGTTTTTGACACCTAGATATAGATTTGATACATAACAGTGACAACATTTCTCTTTTTTTCTCATCCAGCTGAGCTGACTGCCTCCCACTTTGGAGGAGGAGGTCTCCTCAGAAAGAAAACAGGGGGGCAGCAGGATGGGGAAGAAACCCACCGAGCCAAGTCCAGACAGGAGCTCATTGACGAGCTCATCCAGAAGTCCAAGCAGGAGAAGGTGAGGCAGCAGCACTGTATCTATGGATGTATGCCAACAACACTCCAATGAGCCACTCTGCACTCTACACCGCTTACTGCACCGGCCACTAGATCTTAATTTGAGTTAAACACACTTAATTCTCTACCACGGCTGAAAATAGTCCCTAACAAATACACCATTCACTCCTGTTAGAGTAACTTCATCTGAATGCAGCAGTCTGACAAAATACAAATAAATGAAAAGGGACTTGTGTGAAGATTTGTTTGAGGTCCAGATCAGTTTTCTTTAATATTTTTTTACTTTTTTAGCGGGAGCGACAGGTGCGGAAAGAAGAGTCTCAAGAGCTGACTGAGAAGCTGGACCAGGAGTGGAAAAGCATCCAGGCTCTGCTGGTGAAAAAGACGCCTAAGTGCGACCGTGCCGAGGAGGAGAAGCCCAAGGTAGGGTCACGGCCACCTCCAGAAATGCTTTTCCTCCACTATCGGCTTTCATTCATCCGTTTCTTTGTTCTCTCTCCCTCTGTGCGTTGCAGCTGGAACAGTATGACATGATGGTCAGAGAGTTGGTCTTTGACATGAAGGCTCAGCCCTCGGAGAAGTTGAAAACCCCGGAGGAGCTCGCCCGGGAGGAGAGGGAGAAGCTGCAGAAACTAGAGGTATGGTTGATCACCCTCTGATCCCGACGCTAACAGCTTTTCGTCGTCGCATACTTAGCAAACCTGTTGTTGCTCTTTTTTCCTTCTAGTCCGACCGCCTGAGGAGGATGATGGGGGAAGAAGTGGAGGAGAGCTCACAGAGTCAAAGCCACATTTCTGCTGATGACCTCCACGACGGCTTCATCCTGGATAAGGATGACGAGAAGACCCTGTCTTATCAGGTGGGAGACAAGCGGAGACAAGCGGTCTGTGTGTGAAAGAACTAAAGGGTTCTTTGTTAATACCGAATGTGTTAAATTCCCATTTCTCCAGGATGGCAAATGGAACATCGAAGAGGAGGCTGACAAAGATAAGACTGAAGAGGATGATGAAGAAGAGGGACACAGTGGAGAGGTGGAGGATGGAGATGCGGGGGAGGAGGAGGAGGAGGAGGAGGAAGATGATAATGCAGATGAGGAGGGGAGGAGGAGGAGGAGGAGGGGGAGCAGGAGGCCAGCGATGATGAAGAAGATGGTCACTCTGACCTGGAGTCCGAGCAAGAAAGCGACGACTGAGGAGAGAAAAGAGACCAGTGCCCAACCGAGTCTGAGCAAAGAGGAGATAAAGGCCCAGCAGGAAGCGGCTAAAGCAGAGCTCCCGTACACATTTACTGGTGACTACACTGCACATGTGCAAAAACTATGCTCGGAACACACAGAGTAGCTTTTGCTTCATAGCTTTCTTTTGGTGTTTATTTTTACTCGGATGAGTATCGTCACCATTCTCCCGTTTTCTTCTTCTTCTCTTAGCTCCAGAGAGCTACAGTGACCTGAAGGATCTGCTCCAAGGCCACACCCCTGACAACCAGCGCCTCATTGTGGCCAGGACTCAGAAAAGCAACCACGCCAGTTTGGCTGTGGGCAATAAGCTCAAACTGCAGGTAAAATCCAGAGCAGGCTGCACACTGTGTCTCTGTATCCAGGTTTTAGCCACAGCCACTGTCGTCACTCGTCACTTTGTCATTTGTTCGCTAGTGCACTTTATTTTTTTATATATATATCCTTAATATTTTTTTAACTTTATTCTCTTATTTTATACTAACCCATAGCCTTATTCTACTAATCCATAGCATTAGAATTTCATTTTATTTTATTTTATTACTTGTGCACTGCTGTCTTGTGGTCTATTGTTACACTGTCTACTGTCATGCACCAACCGCCAAGTCAAATTCCTTGTATGTATGACATATTTTGGTAATAACTGTTTCCTGATTCCTGAATGTGTTCTTGTTACTTTCTCAGAAAATGTTTGGCTTTTTGTTGGAGTACATCGGAGAACTGGCCACCAGGAGTCCACCTGAACTCGTCGCCGTAGATAAGCTCATACCGTGAGTTCAGATAGTTTTAACTCCTCAAAGATTAAGATATTTAGTCCTTAAAACAAACGGAACTGATCATCCCAGCGTTTTTCTTCTCTCCATCTCTCTCTCGCCTGTAGAGAGTTGTACAGCATGTGTCAGATGTTTCCAGAAGCAGCCTGTAAGGCCATGCAGAGCATCTTCGAAGACGCTGGTCATACCATGGAGGAGGTGCTTGAGGTCAAAGGGCATGTTCCTTTCCCAGCGCTGGACATGGTATGGATTATTTGCTGTAAACATCCATTCTGTCCTCTCGATCAAGGGATCCTTCTCTCCTCTCTCTACTACCAACTTGCTCCAGTGTGGTTTTGTGTTTTTTGTTGTTGTCTTTTAGCTCGTCTACCTGAAGGTGACAGGGCTGCTGTTTCCCACCTCAGATTTCAGACACCCCGTCACAACTCCGGCGCTGCTTTACATCAGCCAGGCGCTCACCAAGGTGCGCACAGTCGTCCGTTTGTTCACCGCCTGCGTCGTCGAAATCAGTCGTCCATTTCTTTTGGATAATAAAATACTTTATCCATCCATACTGTCATGTTCTTTTAAGTGAATCTGGATAACGGGTTGCTTGATTTTCAGCACTTAACGCCGTCTTTCCACGCTTAGTGCCCGGTGAGATCGCTGCAGGACGTGACGTCGGGTTTGGTGCTGTGCTGCCTGGGAGTGGAGTACGTCACCTTCTCGAAGCGCTTCCTGCCGGAGCTCATCAACTTCCTGGCTGGGACGCTGCATCTGGCCGTGAAGGACAAGACCTCCCTCGGTAGCCCTAAGCGACTCTCTTCCACAACTCTGGCGTGCATTTCTTCAGTCTGGATGCCGGCATTCGTCTCGCGGCTCAGCAAGCCTTTGACTTTGTGTTGCAGGCTACACGGTGGTGCCGCCCTTTAGGCCAACGGGGAAGTGCAGCGATCTGCTCGTGTTGTCAGACTCTGAGTCCTGCGCGAGCTGGACCAAGAAAAGCCTTCCGCTGTCTGCGACTCGACACCTGGAACTCCGAAGCGAGCGGGACAGAGATCACCACAGGTAGGAGGGGAGTCAAGTGGCCGTGCTTTTGAGTTTGAATCGTCATGGTAACATCGCGTCTCTCTGTACCTCAGACGCACTGGAGCTGTGAACTTGTTAACTTTAGGAGGATGAGTAGGATGAGATGAATCAATACCACTAATGTCTGTCAGTAAAGCCACAACATGTCAGTTTTATTCAGTTATTATACTGAATAAACTAGGTAGGAACACTGAATCATTATTAAATTGATGTGATGGCCATCTGCATATTTCTCCAGAGCCTTGATTACTATTAATCAACACTAACTAACTAATCACAAGATAGTGTGTGTAAAGTAGAAAAATCCACAGAGGAATAAAGTATTTTTTTCTCCCCCACAAAACCCCCCCGTTTATTTCATTTTGTTGAATTTATTTTAGCAATAACATCCAGGCTTGCAACTGACTGTTGTTTTTTGTTCTCTGTGCCATTCAGAGGTCTGGTTAATTTTGTTATATTAGACAATAGCAGTGACCGTATGTCCGCTAACAGTCGATCCGCCGCTTCCCTTCTGATTTAGCGTTGTGCATTTGTCCCTTTTTAAGTTAAACCAGAGGAGGAATTGTTACGTTTCCAAAAAGGATTTCTAAATTAACGTCAAAGCCCTCCCCCGGCGTTGCTTTGTTACCCCGTCTGCATAAACAGCTGACCCCCGGAGACGTGGCATTCGGAGGCAACGGATCTCAGAATGCCTTAATTGGCCTCTCCGATTGTACTGTGTAATAACAGGAGAGAGCCGAGGGAGGGAGGGAGCGATTATAGTGTGAGAGAACGCGTTGTCTTCTCGCTGCTTCTCGCTTTCCGTTTGCACCGGAATCTGAAGCCCAACAAAACTCTTAAACGGTCGTGTCGCAACATTTCATGGATCCATTTTAGTCCGTGACCGGGGTCTTCCGTCTGTGTGTGAGACGCGGTGCTTACCTGTCCGGGCCGCGCGGCTCGGAGACGACTCGTCCGCTCTCGTGTTTCTGACGAGTCGCCGTCGCCGTGGTTTCACACAGCAGCTGGTGTGTGGGCAAGAAGCAAAGCTGGTAAACAGGCTTCAGCGGCCCATTGTCGTGCACGAGGGGGGGGCGTGAGAATATTCTTTTATTTGTACTCGACTGAAATGAATACTTGAAACAAACCAGTCCGACCCAAACTCAAGCGCGGTTGTGTAGGAGATAATTTATTTGATTTAAAATTGATTGACTATTTGTCAAAGCAATGGAACCTATTGAGTGAGAGAGATCTAAAACCACTTTCACGGATTATACAATCCCATAAATGATGAAGCATCCGGCCCCTGTTATTCATCCAATGTTTCCTATTGACAACAGCAGTTGTTCTGAATGACTCCTGCTCCTCACACCTCGGCGCTGAGTCATATTCTAATTCCTGCCTTCCTTCAGGCCTCCCAGTGACACACACACAGCAGCTGTGCGCAACCAGTCCAGTCACTGAATTCCTGTAGGGGGGGCCGGGGTGCAGCATCTGGGTAGTGATGGCCAGAGCCTGTGTGCACTTCCTGAAGTGTGCTTCGATAACTAGATTAGCTGTGCGGCTCCGAGGCTCCTGACTGTGGCGCACGTGGTGAGATGTGACTCTCCGTCTCCCTGCAGGTTGACGTGTGTGTCCACCTGCCTGGACCTGGTGAAGCGATGCTGTCTGCTCTACAAAGACCTGCCGTCCTTCACCTGCATCTTTCGGCCAATCAGAACGCTGCTCTCCGAGCACCTCTCGGCCCAGACGTTACCGGAGCTCTTGCAGGTTGGTTGACGGAGACGCTTTGATGCGCCCGAGGTCTCCCCGCTCTTCGTCTTTAAAGTGTCGGTTTCCCCTGGAAATGTGTAATAATATTTGTTGTTTCCGCGGCAGGAGCTCCGCGGTGAGATTCTGGAGAGCATCGGCGGCGCGGCCGTGACGCGCTGTCGGCTGGTTTTGGAGAAGAAGAAGCCGATTCCCTTGAAGCTGCTCACACCCAAGATTGTTGAAGTGTAAGACACAAAACTGAAAAGGAATCTCCCCGCGTGGAAACCAACGGATAAAGAATGCTCATCCTCCCAACGGGGCCTTTTTGCTTCTTATGTTTGCCAGGTTGGACTACGGAAAGAAGCGCGGCTGCAACAGAGAGGAGCGGGAGAAGGAGCGACTGAAGCACAAGTACAAGAAGGAGTTCAAGGGCGCCCTGAGGGAGATCCGAAAGGACACGCGCTTCCTGGCCAGGGAGAAGCTCACCGAGGTCATGGACAGGTACGGATGAGCACAGCGTCCACGAGGGCTCCCCACTTGTTTCCGTGGAAGTGGACGCCTTTTTAACGTGTGCCGCGTTGTGTATTTCAGAGATTCCGAGAGAAAGAGGAAAGTGAGGGAGCTGTTTGGCAGCTTGGCCACTCAGGAGGGGGAGTGGAAGGCCCTGAAGAGGATGAAGAGTAAGTGAAGCACGGGACCTTCACCGCGTTTCCCTCAGTCGTCGGTTCCCTCGTCATGTTGCCGCCTCCCATCCAGATGTGGGAAAAACCGGCCCGTTCGTGGCTGACAGCTGTGGAAATGGGAGCCGTTTTGTACTTTGTGGTTTTTAACGGCGAGATGGGACGAATTCAACTCCTTTGTCACGGCGCGCATTTTATGTTGTTTGACGGATATCTGTCAAGTATGAATAAGGTGTTTGATTGGAAGTTGGATGCTGTTGTTGGAAGTGTCAGTAAACGCAGCAGTTTAATGCTCTGTTTGCATTGTCTCTCTTTTTACCACTTTAATGTCCTGGCAGAGAAATAAATGAAGCATCTTTCGGTTCTCTGCTTTCCGATCATGTTTTTACTGTCCAGCTGGTTTATTGCCATCGTGATAATAATGTGAACCAGTCATGAAGAGTTGTAATGCAGATGAGTAAATGTATGAGCTGTCAAAAGAAGCAATGCAAGGCAATTACCAAACTTAAGAATCCTTAAAACGGTTACGGTCATTGGCTCAATTGTTGTTGAATGAATGAACAAACAAAAACTACAAACCCTTTTTCTCACTGACTTTTATTCAACACAACTCCCAAGTCGATTCATGCTCTTGGTTTCCAAAAGTCCATTCAGTATGCAATGTATTTTTCACAGCGGTAATAAATTAAAACATACAATATGAATGCACAAATAGCACTTTGTAGTTCACCGCAAAATACAGTGACAGCACAGACACACACACACACACACACACACATAAAAATAGAGAATATCATTAAGCTTAATTTCAAACGTCACGTTAATTGTTCATTAATATTGAGACACTTAGGTGCTTGAAGTTTGACATTTAAATGTTTGAGCGATTGATAAAGCCACACAGGTGAGGACAACATACATGTAGACACACACACACACACACACACGCACACACACTGAGACGTGTACTCACTGTAATTACAGCCGGTCACTAAGCACCGATGTGTAAAAGGCACACACACACATGCACGACATCTCTTTCTCTACAACATTTACCCGCATACAGACATACAAAACAACACACGCACACACACACAGATGTTGGGCACAGACTCCACAAAGGGCCAAACGAGGCACGGCGGGACTCGGGCGGAGCCCCGTGGAATGTTTCCGTGGTCGATCGTCGTCTCCGATCAGTTGTCGTCGGCGTCGTCCTGAGGGAGGAGGAAGGACGGGAGGGTGAGTACAACGCGATGATCGCACAACCCGACGAGGTGGCGTTGGAACAGCCGCGGTGATGTGTCTTTGTCCGTGGTTTTCACATTCTACTGATGTGACAGAACGCACGCTTTATGCTGTAACGCCTGATATTCAAATGCATTAAATGGTTTTAATAGTTGTTTCCGAGGCTCTCACTGTCTGTGTTTTGGACACACAGATTACATTAGTCTTGTCACAAGTGAAAAATGGGTGTCGTGTGAACAGGTCCCTTGTGTTGCACCAGGGTTTTAAGAGTCTCCCATCAATTAACGGCTGCTTCTTTCATGTTTAAATGCAGATTCGTATTAGACATAGACTCTTGCAGGAGGACACTTACCTCCATCGCATCAGCAGGGTCCGTATCAACCGGTGACTCCGCCATGTCCTGTACTGCCGAGGCCTCATCACTCTGGGAAAAGACAATAACGGAATCTGAACACGATACATTCAGAGAAAACAATTCATCACGTGACAATTCAAGCGCTATTATAAATCACAAGTTGGAAGGTAAACAACACACAGAATTCCTCTTTATTCATTAATAAAAGGCGCTCGCGCTCGTTTCATGATGATTATTACGACCGGCGGTCCTTTGGAGTGAGACGGCGGGTAATGAAGGAGGGGAGCTGAGGGTGTGTGTGTGTGTGTGTGTGTGTGTGACGTCTCTCCTGTCCAGCCGAGGGGACGCCATGACACCGTGGCATTGAGCTGACCTTCCTTAATGGGGAGCGGTCACGGGGCGCCGACGTGCACGTGTTTGTGCACGTGCGTGGCGCTCGCTCGCATGACCTTCAACCACTTACTGCACCTTCGAACCCCCGCTGTTGCATCTAACACCACCCATCACGCCTCCATCTGGTCGCACAGCCTAGCTGGAGACGCGTGTGCTCACGTTTACAGGCACGCAGCTGGACTGCCAGTGGACCGCGACGTGTCTTTTTACCGTGGTCGGATCAAATTTTGGCCAAAAGTTTTAGATTCTTTCAATTTTCAGGACAAAAATCAAACTTTTTAATATGTTTCTGCTCACACGGATGAATCAAGCTAACACCCGGCCGCCGTTCTGCTTTGTACCAACGCAGAAAGGGCCTCCGAGGGCCTCTTTTATTGCATGTCGCTGAAAAGATGCATGCAATGAGACGTGCTTTTTTGTCTTGGACCATTTTTCTTGCCGTGTCTCATCCTCGGGTCCTCAAACGCTGCACCTGGCAGGCTGCGTCTCGTTGTCTCTCTCCTGTCTCTCTGTCTCCTGATATGAGTCACCGGCAGCTGATGAGCTGCAGAAACGACTGGAGGACGAGATTAATCGGACTCAGCATCACCACCTTCCTCTGTGTGTGTGCGCGCGTAGGTGCGTGCGTGCGCGTCAGACCCACAGGAGACGATCTTTGATGTGCTCTCTCAACCTGCCATCAATGTTTTAATCAAATCAATATTAATGGCGTTTAATGGCAGACGATCTGCTGCCGTCTGCATGTCAATCTGTCGGCGGGATTTTCTTTCTCCCCCCTTTTTAATCTGTGTGTTTACCCGTCGTTCCCACCACGTCTCCACCAGTCACGCGCACCGCGTGTCTGTTTGACCATCTGGTTGTCTGTGTCGTCTGCCGGTTTGTCATCCTCGTAATGTGGCTGTTCTCACTCCTGGGAGAGGGTGAGGGGGGGGGGGCTGCCTTAAATAACGCGACCCCGGACCGGGATGGATGAAGGGATTCGGTGAGATGTCTGTGGAACAAACCACGCGCATCTTTTGATAATAAAATCAAATGCTGCAAAGGTCTGCGATGAAGGATGGCGCCGGTGGTGGGAAAATAATTGCTTCATTAAAAGATCCGCATGTACAGGTGTCGGCTATAAAAAAAAACCTTCTTTGGTCTTTATCGTCTGGTACTTTTCACAGATCACAGCCAATTGAAGCCAAGCTGAAGACGTTTGTGTGCGTGCGTGTGTGTGTGTGTGTGTGTGTGCGTGTGTGTGTGTGTGCTGCTCCCTTTTGATGTCTAAATTGTGCTAATTGAGGGGAGGTTGCATCACAACAAACCTTTCAACATGAGGTCGGCGTGGCCCAGGGACGTGTGTGATTGGCTTATCGTCTCCTGCTACTTACAGCCGTGTTATGAAAAACACGGGTAATTACGGGCAAATTTGAAACGTTCTCTCATAATAACGTCCCATTTGAACACCTTAATAATGGCCAAACACACCACAGGGCGATGCGATGGTTTGAAGAAGAACAATGTTTGGTTGAGTGTAGAGAAAAAGACGGAGGGCGTAAACGTGAAGGCCATCTGCTCCTTTGGGTGAGTCGGTTTGAGATGGTGTCGAGGAAAAGGGACAATTTGATATTTGACACATTCGGTGTTTCTCGTCCTTGAGGTCTGACGAACCTCTAAAGATATCTTAGAAATACTGACTTCCCTCAGCGAAGGAGAGGAAAGGGAGGGACGAGGATGAGGAGGACAAAGGGGGGAACCGTGTCTCACGAGACAGGCAGCAGATATGAGGAGTGGTGACAAACGGCAGAAGGTAAGGGGGACGCGGTGAAGAGTGATGGCGGAGAGACGCGTATATCAGTATATCAGTATATCAGCCTCCTGCACGTGTGGTCAGACAAGTAGAATTTAAATGTCCTAATTGTTTCAGGAAAATATAATAATAACCTTATTCCTTGTATATTTCTTTACATTCTTTCTAGCTCAATAAAAAGTGCTTTTGGACATTGCCCGCCCCGAGGCTTAATCTCTATTAAAGATATTGAACCACAGCGCCGGGCTGCAGAACTATTCAATACCCCAAATTCTCAGTCAAAGCTTAGATGAAAAAGCGTCTCCCCTCACTTGTTTGGCCGGATCCTTCTTGACCAACCCAGTGGCGACGACCATGTTGCCGGCCCCTTCCACCGTTTTGTGGGCCACGGCGGTCACCCCGGTAACCATGGCTCCACCCACCTGTGACACGCCAGACACGGCTGTAGGGAAGTAAAAAAAAAAAAAAAAACGAAGAAGGCCGTTTGAGGAGGGCGTGTGTGGAATGGAGGCTCGGTGCCAGTCTGTGAGGATTGGCACATAGAAAAACCAGCACAGTGTACGCTTGTTTTAACGTGTGCAATCTAACAAACGCAAATCCAAGCATCGGGTCTCAGCATCAGGTGTGCGTCCCTCTACCTGGAGTCGTGCTTTGAGGCCTCAGCTGCTTAGGACCGCGTCCTTCTGTGACCTGTAAACCCCCCCCCCCCCCGTGATAATTGCCTGCAGGCACTTTCCTTTCATAGACTCCAGCCAGTTTCACCCCACCTTTCACTGTCTGAGCGCTGCCTTGTTGTGTCAGGTGAGGTGTTGCACTTCAGTGCGGCTGATTGTACCGATATTCTCTTGACGTATGTGATTTGAAAGCTGCTGAATTGAGGGTCCGTGATGCCGATCGTATTGGGGTCACAAGAAAATAGCTTTGTTTTATGGGGGGAAATAAGAACAAAAATGTAATGTAATGGAGAAATGTATTCACACAATAATCAATTGAGCTGCACTTTGCTATGAGGAATCCTATATGAGGATTATCCGATCACTGAGATGAAAAGAAATGGCCCCCAACTTTGTGCCTCGGACATTCTGTACAACCACACATCTTAAATAACTCACTTTACTCAACAACACAGCCGTTTCCCTGGGTGCCTGTGTCGGCTCCTCTGCTTGTTATGTGTGAGAAATAGCAGGGGCCCGGCCCGTGGGGGGGGGGGGGGGGGGTTATGTTCAATAAGACGGTGAAATATGACACCTACAGTTACAATCCATCTCACTGACCACCTGAGGATCAGTGTTCTTCTTTTGTGTCGTTCGAAGATCTATTGTGTCCAACATGCAGCTCAGTTTACGGATTGTGTCCAATGAAAGGACTATTGTTCGTTTTCTTTTATGTTTACACCAACATGAGAAATGCATTTAATAAATGCTTCCTACCTGTTGTGACTCCATCCTTTGTTTTGTTACCTGAAAGGATGCCACGTGAATCTCAATTAGTACCAAAAAAAAAGAGAAGAAAACAGATGCACAGATGATAAATAAATAAATGCACTCACTCATTACGGCTTAAAACATACACTCACCGACAAACATGACCCCGTCTTTCGTCATCTCGGCTGCTCCGGTCACTCCCTGCTTGGTTTTCTCCGCCACCGCCGCGACCCCGTCCCTGGCTTTGGAGAAACCCTTCTTGAACGCGTCCATGGCCGCTCGGCTGGCAGCTGCTGCGGGGACGTCGAGGGGAAGACCACAAGGAATCAGGAGCAGAACGATCCGGATCGCAGCGCGTGACAATACACACCAACGATGCCACCGCCCTACTTTCTGTGCCTCCCCCCCTCTCTCTCTCTGGGTGTCTCTCTATCTCTCTCTCTCTCCTTCTGCCCGTGTGAATGCTGAAACAAGTCCCACCTGTGACCGGTTTCAAGCCCCGACCGAGAAACCATGAATGGATTTACTATTCATGGTTCACGGTTTTTTTTTTTAAAGACAATGTTGTATTTTAAGCCGACAAGGAAATGGATGATGTTTAAAAAATATATATACATCAATATAATATATAAATATAATGGCGGAGAAGAATAAATAAAATGAGCTGCGGTCCACGCACCTGTTCGCTTTAACTTCCTTCAAACGCGGCGAGCCGGAGATTCCCCCAAAGGGCAGTAAAACCAGTTTATTCTCTCCGAACTACAACCACACTCTCAAACAGTGTGCGTGCGTGTGTGTGTGTGTGTGCGTGCGCGCGCGTGTCTTCTTAACAGACAGACGCTCCACAGGTTTAACAGACGCGTCGGTGATGGAGAAAGAGAGCGATGAGTCCCCGTGATGCTGATGCGAGAGAAGAGATGCTCTCTCTCTCTCTCTCTCTCTCTCTCTCTCTCTCTCTCTCTCTCTCTCTCTCTCTCTCTCTCTCTCTCTCTCTCTCTCACACACACACACACGCTCACGCACACGCGCGCGCCCGGATTACGTATGGCTCCTTGTGCACGTGGGCTGCTCACAGCGCGTGGGCGCAGCCGCCTCTTGGAACCGTCGGCTGGCCGATCGCATCAAACCACTATTTAGTGACAGTGTAATGATCACGCGCACGGGGCACCGTAATGCCCGCATTAGAAGGTCATGTTGGAATTGGGTCGGAATAATTAGACCGTTTTTATTGTAGTTTTCTTTTTTTTTTAATTTAAGAAACAACGACAAACGCTTCAGATGTTGATTGAAATGGACTTTTCAAGGAAGGGTTTATAAATTGCAATTGATGTGGTGGATTTATGATAATGAGCCTTATGAATACCTTACACAGTTATAACATCCAACAATGTGAAAAACCCTTGAGCATTAATTAGCAGGTTAGAAACATCTGTATTTTTGTATTCTTCTAGATGGCTTATAATTAGATTATAAAGCGTAGACATTCAAGGCTGCAGTTATAAAAGCTGATAAGTCATTGATTTTGATAACCAAGCAGGCAGTTTAAGTTTAAATAAGTTGGTGATTATTTAAAGTTAAGTTGAGTTTTTTCGAAACCTAGCAACAGCTCAGTTGGTACATTATTTATTAAGTGTTACATAACTCGTATAAGTCCTTTATAAAGGGGGCTTTATGAGAAGGAGGTGCTATATAACTCAACAACTGTTGTTCATCACCAAATAATTGATACATGGAGATTTTTCCTATACTGTAGTTTTTTTAATCACTTTTGGTTCAGCATTGGCAAATAATTGATCAACCTTTAATACATCGTTAGGGAACCATGTAAACTGACATGATGCTAAAGCTGTGCTTAGTTTGCTTAATAGGATAATATGAGTCAGGTGATTTTTTATGGTGAACTTTTGTTCTTGTTCATCCATGTCTTATTTCCACTAATCTGACTTCCTGTGTCAGTTCATGTGTTCATGTGTATTTGGGGATAATTGATTCTCATTTGCGTGTTTTGTAAATCGAACCATCTGGGCAAACATTTATGGAAATTCAATCACAGTAGTGGTGAACACTGTTCGTGTAGTTTATTTGTAAGGTGATTAACGTTGGAAGTGCATTAAAAACATACAAGTTTGTTTACTATTATTTCACAACTCTTTACTTTTTGATAAGACTAAACAATCATCAATCAACTAATGCAGTAATGGACTTGCATCATTTTCAAAGGCTGTAATCAAAGTGAGAACTTTTATGGCTTTAGAGTTGATCGTGTCAGTTGGTTCATTTTTCTGCATGCTAAGTGGCTAAGCTAACGCCACGTCCAGCTGATGCATCGTTGAGGCAAACACTAACACTTCTGTGGAACCTATCGGGTGTGCATTAAAAAGGCTGTGCACTCAAAGTGATGTGGCACAACAGGAAATTATTGTTGTGGTCAACCCAGATGGCCGCCGCCATCCTGTATCTCCCTAGTAGCTCCATCCTGTCTACTCAGAGCCCCGGTGCCTCCCAAAGTCGGCTGCTATGTTTCCTGCCTGGGAATCATCTTCCACCTCGTGGTGATGATTTACGCACTGCAAATGTCATAGCGGCCTATATTTACCGACCATTTTTCTTTTATTATTGCCATATTCCGGGTAAAGCTTATGCACGCCATGGAACGTCATCATTGCTGTTATCCATCATACGATGTGCGGCCATTGGACCGGACGGCCGTGCGAGCAATGGCAAGTGACGCATGCTCAAAGCAGGTGGAAACTAAATCCGATCATGTGACTGATTGTTAATTTGATGTAAACCGGCCTGTGTTCCTCCCCTACACCGGCACAAAAAGGTGCACGTACCAGTGACCTAAATTGTTGAGTCCATTTGAATTCATCATTTAAATTCCATTTTAGGTTGGCTACAACACCACAATCAAATATCAACTTCATTAAAGATATCGTATCTCTTAACCATCATAATATGACCTTTAACCCACTGAAGTTGATTCAGGGTTTTATTCAGTCAGACGGAGAGTTGTCTGATTGAGCGAAAAGCACCAATCAGTTACACAGACGGGTGACAGAATTACATGGAAAACGGTGCTTATCTAACCGTGTTTTGACATCTGAACACTTTGTCGCTGCTGTCTAATGTAATGCGTCTGATTCATACGAAAACAAAAAAGCCTGTCATGTGTCCAAGTGCTCACAGGCTCACGGGGGCCGAGTCCTCACTGCGCTGTCAATCACATGCCGGGGAGCGGGCTTAATCGTTAAGGAATACTTTCAGCGAACCATTTAGCTACATTTTTCTATTTCAGTCATGTAGTCATTACCTCTAGCTGTCCATTTCCACTGTCCATCCATTAGATTTAGCTTTTTTCACCTTTTGCTTACCTGGTGTCCTACGGACTCAATATGTAGCCATTTTTAAAATGTAATACATTTAGTCCTTCAATTTATGGAGCTGTTGCACGTTTTAGTTTTTAAAAAATCGTCATTCTTATATATATGTATTGCAGGGATGAGTGCTATTTCTAACACACTGGTGTATATTTCTGGGTCGTGCGGGGAAGGGACAGCAATAAAAAGCAGTGTAATTTGTCTCACTGTCGGCTGGGCTACAGATCGTTGAGGTCGGCTCATTTTCGCCGGCATGCCACAGCCCCATAAATCATCTTGATGATACAAAAAATGATTTGTTGGGTACCTTAACAATCATTGAAGAAATGGTCAGAGTAGTAGATGAAAGCGCTTCATGTCCACTGCACAGCTCGGAGAGAGGTGTGCCGTGTGGAGGCAATTTATTTCCATAAGCATCAATCAATAACAACCTGCTGCTGGTTAGATGCAACAAGGCCGCTTGAAAAAAGTTCAAATTATTGAAAGTTTTCCATCGGTTTTATTCAAAAGGGGAAAAGGGAAGCGCACAGCAGAAGCTGACTCACTCTTCTCTCTCTCTCTCTCAATGACCACCGTCAATGACTCACCATTGAGACGGAGAACACAATATGAGTCATATGTATTTAATCTCAAAATAATTCATTTAGAGGGAACTCAGAATGTTCAGCCTGTTGCTCTGAAGAAAGCTCGGCCCTCATTTTGTTTCGTGCGGTTTGCACATTTCAGTGGTGAAACCTTCTGAACTGAACGCGGCCCCATCGGAGACTCGCAAAGAGACGCCATTGTGTCAAATGTCGGCGGCTACTAATCACGCCAAAGACGCCATTACGGGCGTGTTGCACCAAGCTGCGATTTGAATGTATTCTATTGTTATTCATGGAGAATTGTAGGTGTTGAAGTGGTTTATTATGAGTTTATTCTCAGTATCTTAGTGCCACCTACTGCGTGGTGTGAGTTACAGCTGCTCGAACCCACTGAACTGTGCGAGGGGGGAAACCACAGATATTAAAAGCCATCGATCTCTCAGACGCAGAAAGGCGGACGATCGTCCTCGTCGTTGGCGAATAACTGAATCGACACAAACATCCGGGTGATGAAATCTCGAGGTGACCTGGAATGCCGCGAAGAAACAAAAGTCAAACAGCTGCTCAGAAACACACTTTTTTTTGTTGTTGCCAAGGCCTCCGTCGTGCAAATTGTGAGCCACACTAAAACAACTGTGATAATATCAGCGGGATGGTCCCTGAAACCCGGGCGAGCATCTAAACACACAACTCAAGTACCGTTCTCTGTGTTTAGGATGAGGCATTTGAAGCTTTTTTGTTTTCTTCCTGTTGTCCCTTTGGCGGCCCCCCGTCCATCCCGGCGTCATCCACGTTTTGAGATGACTGTTGGTTAGTCACTCCTCAGCTAATCCTCGGCCGTTGGTACACGATGGATCCGGAAGTGGGTGCAGCAACGCGTGAAAAGGGGATCATCTGAAACCGCCCACGTGCTCTTCAAAACTCAAAGGCAGAGAAGTTTGCAGTCTCGATCGCCATGAGAGGGACGACTGATGCGTTTCATTTGTAGCCCTCTGTTACATTCAAACATGCTTAGGCACCTTTTTTAAGGTGGTGCTGTGTTACAAAGAGTTGCAGTTCTTCCTTCTCTCAACTATTGGTCAGCGGATAGACTTTGTACAGATGCTAAAGCCCAGCTTGTAATTCAAACCAATACAGATGCAATTTCCTCGACTTGATTTTTTCCCTGTTTTCACTCTATGATCCAGATGGTATCGCTTTAGCAACTTTAACATTCCCAGGAGAAGCCCTGTGTGCACTGGCTGTGTAGGTTGTAGGATGCTTGTGATTTAATGGCTCCGACTTTCCCCACTGAGGTCAAATGGAGATATGGAGACATTTATTTCCCTGTGCGTCGCTTTCCTGGAAACATGGTAATGTAAACGGTTTGCCTACACAGAGAAATGGTCTCTAGGTGGCGCCAAAAGATACTAAAACAAGTACAGCATGACATATCCAGCCTTATCCAGCCATATCCAACCAAGGCGAAGCAGCGGAGGAGGAAAAGAAGAAGAAGAAGAATCAGATGATGATCACTGAAGTGGTGGAAATCTGCCAGCTCAATGCTTCAACGTTCGATCAATGCTTCAATGCTACATTGGAGGAAGGCGTCAGACGTGTGATGCTCACTGATGGTCGGCCTCACAAAAAAACACCCTCTTCGTGTCCAGGTAACAGCTGGATGAGGAGCGAGAGGCTGGTGGGATTTATGATAATGTGCTAAGTTCAGTCCTTCCTGGGTGAGAAATTCCATCGTACATCTGATAAGAGCGCTTCAGGGTTGGAAACAGATGTGTGGCACTCATGCTGGTAGAAGTTTAGAAAGTGCTGAAACCCAAACAGCAGAAACTAGAAGAACCTGCAAAACGTCCCGGTGACTCATCTGAAACCCACCTGGAAAAACAGCCACCGCTGAAGGTCAGATTTCCCAGATAACTTTCACTCGCCGT